CCTTTGCATGGCTTGCAGTACATAAAAATTACATCCAATATTTTTTTTTTATTTTTTTTATTTTAGTTTGGAGCTTAGTGAAACCTAGATGTGTTATTACCTTCTTTCGTGTTTTTTATTTGCAGAGTGCAATCATGTCAGGGTGCTTTCAAGGACTGTTGAAAGCCATCATTTTATTGATTTCACTTTATCAGGGTATGCTGTGTAATTTTTTATGAGAACTTGCTTTCGTGAACAAGCTCTTGCGATATTAAGTGTTGGAGTGGTCATACTGTTTCAGTTCCTCTATTAACCTGTCTTGTAACGCCTGCTCAGATGTTGCGGTTGCTGCCTGCTGTACCCCAAGATTTTTCCTTTTGTGCTTGGCGCAAGTGTCAGTTACACGGGACCATCTGTTCCACAGAAAAAGTGGAGACCCGAGGAAGTAGGGCAGAGCAATTTAAACACAACAGAACAATAGTAACGAACAAAATGTGAGGGTTCTAGTGAGCTGGTGCAAGTTCGAAATTGCAGAATTACCCAAGACTGCGGTGATGACACAAAAACGACAGAAAGAAGGAAAAGTCTAGAAATTACCTTCTTCCCGTCGTCATTGCAGTCTCGGTTGTTTCAAGGTTGAGTATTCATTTCTGGAGGCATGTCTCTTTTTCGTTGTTGTCCTGTCAGTACAAAATTAAATATTGAGATGTGAGCGACTTGAACTTGATGTTGCACATAATGTGTACAACAGAGGCATTGCTTCTTCACCATTTTTTAAGTAAGCCATGGTTTGAAGTGTATTTTGACTTTACATTTGGGTGTTGGGTACCTTCAAGTCACTACGTTTTTCGCTTATTTTGAGTCAAAAATATATTTTTGCCTCGGAGAACTCAAACAGATAAAAAGCCTCCATCGCCCTAATTTTTCAAAAGGTATTCATGCGTGTGGAAAAACGTTTGCATGTAAATTTGGGCTGGCAAATAATTGCAGAGTGTGCACACCTGAAATGAGGTACCAATGCAGCATACTACCAAGCACGGAAGGATGCCTATAGCAAGCTAGTATTCCACTCTTGAACTCTTCAGCCCTGAAATAGTCCTGTACTGACCAGCCAATGCTGATATTCCTTATTAATTGAAAGCACCAGTTTGCTTCCTTGCTTGGAAACAGCTACTGGTAGTCGTTTTGAATGGCATGTTAAGCCTTGGTGTTTTATGAACTGTGCCTTTGATTGATCAAGGGTAATATTTTGACCACAAGAGTGAGGAGTGTTCAAAATTTCTAAGCTTTTGGACTCACCTTGGTTTCTTTTGTATTTTTCTTACTTAATTTGTACAATGTGGTTATAAGCAGGGATCCGTCTTTATGGATTAGACAACTGTTGTAGTCAGCGATGTTAGTGTGGTGGTTTCTGAGATTTTTAGTATAATGTTAAGGTTTTTGCAAAATGGAAGTTGTATGAAATAATTACTCTTGAAGAATACAGCCTGGTTTCAGTAAAACGTTTTGAATTCAGTGGAGCCTTTGTCATTTGTTCTAGTGAATGAAAACTTGATTTCCTTTATATGTTATTTCAGACTTGTCAATATTATATAAAATGATCAAGTTCAATAATCTAGTAGAATTACAATCATCAAATGAATATTATTAAAAAAAGACTAAGCGAAATGCATGGTTCTTTTGGCAAGACCCCTTTTGGGACAAGCACTAGTAGTTAGCACAAAGCCAGAAGAACAATATTGACAAATCAACTTCCTTTGTGTCATTTAATTGCAGCTGATTTAAATGTGCCCTGTATTTGAAATTTCAACACCACAATCCCCTCAAGTATATATTCGGCAATTCAATGTACGCTGCAATTTTTAATCTAAACTCCACCAGACTGAGAAATTTGTTGCCAGTATCGTCCCTAAAGTCCACTTGTCTAACCTGATTTCTATGGTAGGCATGTTATACCTGCAGGAAAGTTACGATTATTGATTCTAAGAATGCACTGCATAACTCAATTGTGAGCACTAAGAAGTTTCGCAGCATTCGTCCTTGTTCAAAATGTGGTTGGGCAAGTTAGCAGGCTCCGTTGAGTGCACTTGTTAGTGAACACAGGTGCATTGCAAAGAAGCCATGCCCGCCTACAGGATACCACAATCCTGCGAGTCTCGCTTCGTTGTACTGCAGCTGTGTGCGTAGGGGAAGAGCACTCGGGGCTCGAAGGTGCAGGCATGCGAGTCGGGCATTTGGAGAGAGAGGGAGAAAAGAACTGCATTGCCGGGCAGTTAACCTCCAGAATTAAACGAGCAAACAAGTGCCGGGTTTTGCTGCATGTCTATTAGAATGGAAGAGCTGTAACAAAAGCTACTGGTTTGATAGAAAGTGCCCCTTTGGGGCACTAACCTAAGCGGTAAAATTTGAAGCATGCCAATACCCGCTCATATCAAAATCCAGAAGAGCTACTCATGTTATTGGTTGATTTTCTTTTTTTAAATACAAAATTTATGGGAAGCTGATTGGGTGTAATGAGAATATTGATGAATCCCACCTACTGGCTGTAGCTGCACATTGCTCTAGACTTAATGTTTATGTCAAATGGTTCAGTCACTCACTTTTCAGGACACATTCAATAAATAGATTAAAATTAAATTAGCTTCAGCACTGCACACATGGTAACTTAAAAAAAAAAAAAAATTCTGTGCTCAGCTAAACTTCTATTAAAAAAAAAGTATTTGGCAGACGTGCCAATTTTGTACTATCATAAGACCATGTCAATATGACAACAATCCCCTCGATGTCCATAATTAAGTTAGAAATGCTGTTTTTTGACTGAATTAAGAACTTCACTTTTATTGCAACCTGAACTAGACACTGATTAAAGCATCATTAGCTCCAGTGAAGTACTATTTGTTTATCTCTGATCCATACCCAGAAATACCATTCATACATGCTTATGCTATGTTTCATAAATCAGCTTATTTCAAAAGTTGCTGCTGCATGGAGATACTTAAACAAGATGGCCATACTACAACGTGTTGCGATGTCATGTTTTTAACCATAGCTAGACAACTACTAGCTGCATGAATTACTCTGCTGTACAACGGATGTTAATGAGTGCTTGAGCAATTGTGGGTAGAAAAGGAGGTGCTCTCTTTTAGTTGATTATAGACCAACACAGGAATTTCGAAACAAACTGAATGCCTGCACTTCTAAAGCTTTTATTCCCCAAAATGACTTTGAAGTTTATCTTAGTAGCTGCTTGCACACAAGTGACACTAGGCAGCGTTTTCGCTTTATGTGATGAAGCAAAAATTACAGGACGCTTAAGCTTTGCCTTTGAGAGTGGAACGCGATAGCTTAATGTAAGCCGCTTTCGTTCCCAAGCATGGCCTAGTCAGTATAGCGCGTCTGGTAGTCAACCAAAGGGACGTGGGTTCAATCCCGCTTTGCCCAAAGTCCTTCAAATTTTTTCTAAGGCAGGTTAATTAAATATTGACCAATCAAGACTTTCCCGTCCCGCTGACGCCGGCTTCCCGCAACCTGAGCTCCTAGCTATCGCTTTAAATGCTGCTTAGGGTAAGAGTGATTATGCAATAAAGTAAAAAGCCGAGTTCAGTGCCACTAAAGCTGTTAAGATACGAGTGTCTTGTCCATCCGTCTAGATCGAATATAAAATGATAAAAAAAAAACATCTCCCTGGTGACAAGAATCCGCGGATATCCGCAGCAAACGGGCGGATGCGGATATCTGTGGATCCGGATCTAAATTTTTGCCCGGTAGCATTCAGTTTGTTGACTGACGTTTCATCTACAAATCGTTTCGTCGACATGCGACGTTTGATCGAAAGGCTTCTCGTGTTCGTTTCATTGCAAAACCTGAGACCTTTCGTCTCGCACAACTCTGCTATTTTCGTAACAGACTTTTTGCGTCTCGTGGCACACTATGGCCCGAGTTGCTGCTGCGCCAAAAAACCCCAAATTCATTCATTCATTTTGCATCTCGCCTGGATTACAGGAGGGAGGGGGGGGCATGGTTTGGTCAAGCTCGCCTTAGTGAATCGCACGCTAGCTTTTAGCGGCTTAGTGAAGAAATGCATTTTCGACAAAACGTCGCATGGCCATGTGCCCACAAAATGTACAAGCTCGACGAACCGTGTGTCCATGAAATGTATGTCCACGAAAAGTTGTCCACGAAACGTAGGTATTTCCACAAAATGTGTTTTGAAGAAACGATAGGGATCCTAAGAGAGATCTGATTTTCACTGAAGATCACTTCAGTTGGTGCATTTCCTCTCATCAAAACTGCCATCTATAGAAACAGTAAATATTGCAAGGCATCAATCATCCCGAGAAAGCTAGTACATTGGCAGGGAAAGAGCGGAAACTTTCTCCCGACAAAGAAAACCTCAAATGTACAAGTCACAAGAAAGTAGAAGAAACGTCCCCCTCTCCGCAAAGAGTAGTGTGGTCATGATTCCAAAAACAAAAGGAGTGCCTCGACAGCAAGTGCGACCCTGTGGCGCCACGGTTCGTAAAGTTTCAATATCAACAGCGCACGCACATAGGCAGCCCGTAAACTGCCTCTGCGTATCTTTTTTCTATGCTTAGAGACCTAGCCAAAAAGTCTGGTAGTTCATATTCGTCCAACTCCGACGGTCATAGCCGGACGATTATGAACCTCTCTTACTTTTTAATTGTTTGACGGAACTAAAATCTTATAATTTAGTATGCCCTATTTAACTTTTATGTTTCGAAAGTACACATCGGCATAAAGAAAAAATATATATACTTTTTTTTTTGTGCGCTTTTCTGGGCAGAATGTTGCAAACTTCTAGGACGATCACATAGCTGACATAATTTTGCCTTCAACGCATAGTGTTGAAGGAAAGGATTATGAACAGCCACTAGGCGGGAAAGTAGTGGACAAAGTTGGATATGCAAACAAATTGACTTTCTGCAGGTGCAAGTCACAGTTGGTAAAGACAGACACCAATGTTAAGAGTTTTGTTCTAAAAGCTGTACGGTTTGGTTCCAAACATACTAACACTCTCTTTTGCCACCAAACTGGCCTGGGGCTCTTGGCTAGAAAGTCAGCGATATCACCAACTTTCTTTTGCCGAGTTTCCAACATGGAGCCCCTGAAGTTGCAAGTTGCTTCACTTTAAACTGACAATTTGAGGCCTAAAAATGTGCAATGAGTGTTGATCGATGAAATAAACAGGTGAATGTTGTATCACACTCCTTAGCATAAAGGTCGCAAGATTACCGTTATGTCTTCCCACCAAGCTGAAGCTAGCAATTGGTCACTTTTTATTTATATGCATCACTACCATCGCAGGACAGTTGAAAACGTCTCACTGTACACAATAGATATGAAAGCATCACAGCCAAGCAACGTTTGTTTCCACAACCTTGCGCTGGTTGCACACAAATTAAAATAATGGATCGAAAAACCCAAACCAAACAGATTTATTTTATAAATAGGCATTCAAAGTGTTACAACAAAACCACATACTTAAAATGCAATACTATCTTTTTACTGCTTGTTGATGTGTCAATAAGATTGAACTTTTATACAAAATTAAAATGACACAGGTAGTAGCTACGAGCAATGCTCATTATTGCCGGGGGAGCCTGGAGCTTTTATGCAATTTTGAAGATGCAAGAAATCCAGATATCTGAATAGCTTTCAAAGATTTGCATCCCATTAGTCACCAATCCTCATTTAAAGTCATCAGGTTCGCAGTGGGCTGTGCTATGCAAACAGGAAACGACAAGGTATGAAAACCCCACAATAGCAGAGTGGGCAGTTTGCCATAAAATGACATGAAATTTTAAGTTAAGATATTTATACACTACGGTAATTTGCTTACCTTCTTTTTAATGCAAATGCAACCATTCAAGATTAAACGTGTGAAGTCTGATATGTAGGTGTCATTACTTGCTGTACAACTGTTAAGAAGAGGAATGAAGCACTTTTTGAAGGCCACAAATTGTATATTTAGGAGTAAATTTCGTTTTCAGCTGCCCAGAAGCTAGAATAAAGATTTTGTCAGTCTCCCGTTGGCTCCGAGAATAAATCATCCGTGACAGACGGGGATTGAAAGTAAACCAGTGGATACTCAGCCGTGCCTCATTACAGCTGGGGGAAGGCCCGCAAATTGTTATTTTTGAAAACAATGATCCTCAGAAATCATTATATTTAGTAGTGGGAGGGTCAAGCTATAATTTGCCCTAACGACATAAATGCGTGCAAATTGTCAGAAATTTTTGTGTAACAACTTTAGTTTCTACGAAGGTTTGATATAGCCAATAAAAAAAGTTTGAAATTTTCCTGCCGGTACACAAAAGAATCTAAACAGTACAGGAAAGTTTAGTGCACCACACTCAATTATAAAGAATCAAGCATAAAACAAAAAAGAAGCCCAACGAGGTAAAATTTATGTTGCGTAGAGCATACCCATGGGGGCAACACAGAAAGTGCAGTACTTTCCAGAGTAACATACACCAAAGTATTTTCCAAGATTTTGTTCCTCGAAATGTAACTGCACCTGCTCAAGGGGGTTTCGAACGCAACTGAAACGAACTCAGCAGCAATGGCTGGCACCTACTTTGTTGCCACTGAGAAGAGGGCTTTGACACCTCAACATGGGATATCTCCGACAAGTTGTGTTTAATTGTAAATAAAAACTGGTCTCTTTTACGTACAGCTGCTTGTGCGGGCTTGGGAATCGCAAGATATCGAAGTTTAGCAGTTTGCACCGAAGGTGGGAAAATTGAAAAAAAATCTTGTGCCGTTCTTATCCTGACAGTCACTACAGTGCATAATGCACACACTTTTTCACTTTTTGTTTTTGACGAAGTGGTGGATTTGTAATGGCACATGAAGCAAAGAGTAACTACACTCGATAGCTAGCCATTTTCAAACGCGAGAATGGAAACGGTCGGAAACCGGAAGCAAAAAGTGGTTTTAGCTATGAGGACGCAGTTATCTAAAGAGAAGGCCACGCCGTCGCTCTTTCGCGACGACATGCAGCCAATACTCACTCGTTACAACTCGCGTTGCTCGAAGTGTGGAGCCCCGAGAGCCTGCCGCTTGAGTGTACCTTATAATGACTGAGCAGAGTAAATTTGCGAGCGAAGTCCTTGCCGCAGATCTGGCACTTGAAGGGCTTTGCCCCCGTGTGCACCATCTGATGGTGTGACAGGTGAGCCGCCTGTGTGAACGCTTGCCCGCAGAGCTTGCATTTGAAGGGCTTCTCTCCGGTGTGAGTCCTTTCGTGAATGATGAGCAAGGACTTGCGCGTGAATGCCTTGCCGCAGATCTGACAGTCGAAGGGCCGCTCCCCCGTGTGAGTTCTTTCGTGTCGTGCCACGCAGGTCTTGTCGTAGCTGGAGTAGTTGCAGTAGCGGCAGTGGTGGTACGTCCCTCGCCACTGATGTACCCTCCTCCGGCGCTTCGTCACTGACGTCTGGAACGAGAACGGGCTACCGAAGTCCTTGCAGCTCCAGTTGCCGCCGGCTGGATCCAAAGGGATCCCTCGAGGCTCTGTTGAAAGCAGCACACAAAGGGAAAGTGTCAGTTTCATTGTATGTATGAGCTTAACAAATGGTAAATAATGCTTGGCTCTGTTTTCTATTTCTGGGGATGATATCGGCTCCAACGTCGGGCCAAGCACGTGCATGGTAACACTAATCTTAATTATACTAAAATAAAGTGCATAAGGACTTTATGAAACTGAAGAAATTATAAAATGGGATTCACTTTCCTTGGATTGCTGCACAATCACAAAATGTTACATGAGAGTTTTGGCCTTTTTTGAAGGTCAAGGAGTTACTGATGAAATGTCAGCTGACACCAGAGTACATGATAATGGGACAACACTTTGGATGAACACCGTAGGAGTGAGAGCAAACATACATTCCCAACAATATTACTGATTGTTAGACATTTGAGGAACAGATGAGGAACAGAAACACAGATAACATAGAATCAAAGAAATTATGCAGCACATGTGTACACCCTTGCCAACAAGTAAAAACTGGCTCTCTAGCTCTCATCAAAAGAGTACTAATATACAGGCTATTTCTTTTTACAAGCAACAGATTTTTTTTTTTAAAGGTAAGTGACCCTTACATGGGTGTTGTCTTCATACATTTAGCGGGCTCGGTGGACGTTAGGCGGGACAGTATTCAAAGTATTTGTTTTATTAGTCATGTTCCAAGTTCTGAAAGGATACTGCAATGAAATTGTAGTGCCTATTTTATTGTCTAAATGTCAACCACGTCCTGACCACACCACAGAGACACCAATTTCTTGCTCGAAAAGACAATGAGGTGCGGCAAGACACGCTAAAACTTCAATCCGGTACCTCTTTAAAGCCAATCAGTAATAATGGTTGACCAATTTGTACAATTTATGAAAAGGCAATGACCTTCGAGATATTCAGCAAATATGTATTTCAATGCCTGTCGGCAATTCAAAAAGTGCCCGCACGAAGTGCACCTTATTATTGAGGCACAAGAGTGATGCACCTGTGCCGGTCACCTAATTAGCTTGGCAGCGCAGAGTTGTTGGAAGCAATGACGGACACTGCCTAGATAACGACAAAGGGCCAGTCACTCTTCTCTGCATTGTTTGGGGCTGCCCACCCTAAATATATAGACACACTTCTATGCCCACACGTTTTTAACTGCCGACAGACAAGCAAAACTTGTAGATTAATATCTCAAAAATCATTGCCTTCTTGTAAACTGTATGAATTGGTCTAGCCATTATTAGTGATTGGCTTCAAACTCTGCGATGAGAGCACGACTCATAAAAAGAAAACTTAGACAGTTCATTAGGCAATTTTAGTTAATTAGACAACAGGACATGATGAGTATTGCCCCGTCTAACGTCCACCAAGCCTGTTAAATACACAGTGAAGACAGCACCCATGTAAGGGTAACCCACCTCTTGTAAGAATTCTGTTACAAGTAAAGGGAAACACCTGTTCACTCCCTAACCACCAACCACATGCAAGGCCTGTAGTCAACATGCCTAGGATATGGTCAGGCACATAGTAAACCTATTGCACTCCACTACATACACCAAACTGAATGGTGAAATATGAATTGAATGAGCATGCAGTCTGTAAAAAAAGTGTTCAACGGTCAATAGCTGATTGCAGAGACACCAAGGATGAACACAATCTATTCTCTGTTTGGCATGTCATAAATGTTGAATTCGGTCGAGCTGTTTGAAGACGAATTTGGTTGGGTCCTGCTGTCAGACTTCCATCTGTTAAAAAGAAGGAATTTCGTAAATCAGTTACGCTTCACAATGTCTTAATTTTCACACATAGACAACTCTGAGAAGTTGGTAACATGAATGCACCTGCAACACATAAATTTGAGGGTATGGTTCTGCACACACTGAATATTCCAAAATATGTCATTTTGGAATCAAGCTATGATTTACAGTAGAAACTGTCATCAGAGACATGATTCGTAGACACATTTTATCTTCACTGCTTTAATTTGGAAAGGCAGCTGCACCCATTCAAGGTAATAAATCATTACAAAGTTCAGTTTACCGTCAGGCTAAAACTCTAATATTTCTGTAGAATTGTGATAAATTGAGCAATTGAGTGCTGAAACTTCTACTGGCTAGATGTCCGTGAAATCAATGGAATCTAGCAGTTGCCGTTATGTAAGGATTTGGTAGCAGCTGATTCTGTTTTCTCTTCCTCAACCACCCCTCCCCCCGTTTTGTGCTGGCTCTCCCAAAAACCTTATGTGAAATTGCTTGGTAATCTGAGAACACTGAGAGCGTTGCCATTTTAATGTTGGCAAGCGTCGTCGGTACCAAAGAACAATTGAGGCATCAGAAACAACCATACGGGCATCGTGCAATGGTGCGACAGCAGTGCTTTCCGCCTTCCGACCATGAAATGTGGATTAAAAGGTTAAACAGCCTACCACAACTATCTGACGAAACTCTCAGAGGCCTGTGCACGCTGGCGAAACCTCGTCAAGGCAGCGGAGCAAGTCTTACGCCTTCGCTGCGGAAGCTTACAAACTGCGGGTTGTCGCCAGCGTGCACAGGCCTCTGAGAGTTTTGACTAACAGTTGCAGTAGATTGTTTAAACTGTTCATCCACATTCTATGGTGGGAAGGCGGAAAACACAGCCGCCGTGCCATCGCACACTGCCTGCACGATTGTATCCGATTCCTCCACTGTACTTCGGTACCGATAACACTTACCAACATTAAAATGGCAACACTCTCAGTGTTGTCAAACCACTAAGCGATTTCGCATAAGCTCTATTGCCCAGCAACATGTCCCTGCTGCTACAAAAATTGCAATCAATACTGTCTACCGCAGCACCCAGTTTGCATTTTGTTTCAAGCAAGTGTAAAGCATGACAGCTTAACCAATTCTTCATCCTTGTAAATCAAATTGGACAGGGCAATTGCACCTAATCCTGTCTTCTTCAGAAGTGGGTGTATTTCCTGTTTTTATTGTTGGTTATCCCCTAGGGATTGCTTATCTTCTCCACAATACATGTGACTTGTTTGGACCGATTTTAAAACACATTTTCAAATTGTCACTTCGTTCTGGTTTGTTCCCATCGTTATGGAAGAAAGCGGTTTTCGTGCCAATATTAAAGGGGGCGATTCATCGGCTGTCAGTTATTATCGGCCTGTTTCTTTATCGTGCGGCTTTTTTAAGGTGTTTGACAAAGTTATTCATAAACGAATAACTCATTACTTTCATCAAAAATTAATGACTTCGCAGCACAGGCTCATTACGAGGTGGTCAGTTGAAACCAACTTGTGCTCCTCTTTACATTTTGCTGCGCCAATTGTTACGAGCAGGGAACAGGTATATGCTATTTATTTTAATATGTCTAAAACATTCGATGAAGTTGATCGTGAGCTATTGCTCCACAAATTATGGTTATACGGTTGTTGCTCTGAACTACTTCGCTGGTTTCAAAGCTACTTGTCATGTCGTACAAATCATGTTCGAATTTCTAGTGTCCCTTCTAAACTATTTTAGTCAACTTCAGGCGTCCCCCAGGGGTCTATTCTGGGGCCTCTTCTGTTTCTGATATCTGTTAATGATATAGCCTCATTTGCCGAAAAAGCTGAGCTCTTACTGTTTGCGAATGATATTAAGATTTTTATGCGCGTTGCTACTCCTCCTGATTGTAATGCTCTTCAGCACGAAGTGAACAACATACTGCAATGGTCTTTGGCAAATAATTTGCTCCTAAATCCTACCAAAACTAAGTTTCTTTCTCTGAGCAGACAACACACTGTTAAAGGGCAACTCCGCTTGATTTCGGAAATTTCGAGATAGTGGGTGATATAAACGTGAAAAGCACTTCAAAACAACCCTAGACCATTTGTCTCATCAAAAGCAAAATATTTTTCGTGCGATCATGTTATTTACCACAATCGCAAACCGAAACTGAAACTTCGGCACAGCCGGGCAACATTGTACTCTCAACGTCAGTTGCATACGCACCCACGTGGAATACAAGGGGTCACGTGATCTACTAGCGGTAGCCCAAGAAAGACGCGGATGCGAGGGGAAGGGCGAGGAGGGAGGAGGGAGGGCGGGCCTAGCCGCGGCGGCGAACAGGCAACGCAAGCGGCGACGAAGCAGGCTATGTAGGCGGCAACCCAGGCGGCTAGTCGGTTGGCACCGGTTGGCAGGTGTGTCAGCGAAACTCATCCCAGTACAACTCTCTCTTCCTCTTTTTGTTTCTCTTCTTCTCGTTCATTTTTTTCTTTTTTTTGTCTGTCTCGCCCACTGATCTCTATTGTAGTAGGCTCGCCTCTTTGCTTGCTCAAACGTGGAGCGCGTCCGTAGCGCCGCCCGGTAAGCTCTCCCTGGAAAAGAAAATACCAAGAAAAAAACTGCGTATGCAACAGACGTCAGCCACAACGGAAATACAACGTTGGCTGCGCCGCACGTCGCCCGCTAAATTAGCGGATTTTGGTGACTTCGCGCGTCTCAGTTTTTGTCGGCCGGTTTAGTGATCTTTTAGGCGGTATTACGTTATAATATTTGACATTCGGTCTCTCTAGATGACACTAAAGAGAGTCGCAGTGTTTGGTAACAACCGAGAATGAAGCGGAGTTTCCCTTTAAGCATTTTACTTATTCTTTGGGAGGAACTCCAATCGAACGCGTGACTGTGATGAACAATCTCTGTGTGTGCCATGATAGCGCATTGTCATTCAATGCTCATGTTTCTTTTATTGTTGGCCGTGCGATGAAAACTCTTGGTATTATATCTCGTATAACCCAAAAGTTCAGACGCCCTGCTTGTATGATTAGTTTATTTTGTGCTTTACTTCGTTCACTACTTGAATTTGCCTCTGTTGTTTGGAATTCTGTAACACGTACACAGCCTTTAAGCATTGAATCAGTGCAAAAAAGAATGATATGCATTTTATATGATAGACACTTTCAGTGTCACTTCTATTACGATTATGAATTTATTCTTAAGAGTGTTTTACTTAAGTCTTTGTCAAATAGAAGATTCGAGCGTGACCAGATTTTTTCGCACCGGGTGGCAACTGGTTGGACTGATGCTAACTCACTTCTGAATTCTGTAAATTTTCATATTCCTTGTCGTGTTACCAGAAATTTTACTGCCTTTTACATTCAATTCATGTCTAAACTCTCACCACAGTCCCGTATGCGAATTTCATTTAATAGAATCGCATCCTCTAGCTTGGACATTTTCACAGATCTCCCAGTTTTTTGTCGGAACTTGGAAAGTCTAGTTGAAAGTTGAAACTCTATTACATTTTGTGTGAAGTGCACAACTTCGTTGTAGTCATGCTAATTAGTACATTTGAAGTTGTGCGTACGTTGTTTCTTCCTTTTAGATATCTTGTGTGCGCCAATGCGAAGACCCACATGGTTGTTTTTGGGCACATTAAATAAACATTATTATTATTATTATCCTTGATCCACACCCAGAATCACCCATCACACATGCTTATGCTACGTTTCATCAATCAGCTTATTACGAAAGTTGCTGCTGCATGGAGATATTTAAACAAGATGGCCATATTACAATGTGTTGCGATGCCATGTTTTTAAGCATAACTAAACAGCTACTAGCTGCATGAATTACTCTGCTGTACAATGGATGTTATTGGGTGCTTGCACAATTGTGGCTAGAAAAGGAGGCACTCTGTTTAGTTGATTATAGGCCAACACAGGAATTTCAACGCAATATTGCAGCAGAATAGATGAAACAAACTGAATGCCTGCACTTCTTAAGCTTTTATTCTCCGAAATGACTTTGAAGATTCTCTTAGTACAGCTGCTTGCACACAAGTGACACTAGGCAGCGTTTTCGCTTTATGTGATCAAGCAAAAATTACAGGACACTTAAGCTTTGCCTTTAAAAGTGGAACGCGATAGCTTAATTTAAACCCCTTTTGTTCTCAAGCCATGCAAGCGTATCTGCATGGACTAATCACTAGCGTGTCCGGCACTGAACCAAAGGGTCGTGAGTTCAATCCCGCTTTGCCTAAGGTCCTGCAAATGTTTTCGAAGGAAAATGAATTACTTAATGACCAATCAAGATTTTCCCGTCCTGCTTACACCGACTTTTCTGCAACCTGAGCTCCTAGCTATCGCTTTAAATGCTGCTTAGGGTAAGAGTGATTATGCAATAAAGTAAAAAGCCGAGTTCAGTGTCACTAAAGCTGTTAAGATACGAGTGTCTTGTCCATCCGTCTAGATCAAATATAAAATGATAAAAAAAAAAAAAAAACATCTCTCTGGTGACGAAAGTAAACCCTTCTCCAGGGTTTACTTTCGTCATTCTTGTCCAGCTCGCTTGCACCTTTGCATTTAATTGCATTATAATTAAAATCTCTCTGGTGACAGGAATAACAAAGGTCAGTGTGATGAGCAAAAAATTAACTAGTGCAATATATCTTGCCTAATAGCCTTAGTGAGGAAAAGTATACTAACAGTTTGTAGATAAAATTATGATGAGACTGTATTTCCATACGAGTATTAAACATAGGCTCCTCTTACTGGTTGGAACAGAACTTGGAGCTACTGTGCCTTCAAGTACTAGGGTCACCCAGAAATTAGTAAATTTTATAAACTGTCTTTTATTTAACTGTTGTTTAGTTTACATTATAGGAATACATTTATCCTTAAAATATATTGTTCTTTTCCAATGTGTGGCACTGGTGAATGTTTGTTCAACATGACCACTGGTCTCAATACCTATTCATCAGAAAGAGTGGTGTGAGAGTAAAATGGTAACAAACATTTGCCCATAGTTATAAAAAAAAAATACCAGGATTGTGCACAGCCACTAGGCAGGAAAGTAGTCGGCAATGGTGGATATGCAACCAATTTACTTTCTGCAGTTCCAAGTCACAGTTGGTAAAGACAGACACCAATGTTGAGAGTTTTGTTCTAAAAGCTGTACGGTTTGGTTCCAAACATGCTAACACTCTCTTTTGCCACCGAACCGGCCTGGGGCTCTTGGCTAGAAAGTCGGCGAGAACGTCTTTTTTTTTTTTTTTTGCCAAGTTTCCAACATAAAGCCCCTGGAGTGACCTTTGGCCCGACGGTGTTCGAATGACGTGTAATGGGAAAACATAGCTGGTGACTGTGGCTGAAAATTAAAATGTTTTAACATCTAATTTTCCGGTTTAGAGCAAGTGCAAGTTGCTTCACTTTAAACTGACAATTTGAGGCCTCAAAATGTGCAATAAGTGTTGATCGATGAAATTAACAGGTGCAGGCTGCATCACACTCCTTGGCATAAAGGTCGCAAGATTACCGTTATGTCTTCCCAGCCAGCTGAAGCTAGCAAAAGATAACTTTTTATTTATATGCACTAATACCATCACAGGACAGTTGAAAACGTCTCACTGTACACAATAGATATGAAAGCATCACAGCCAAGCAACCTTTGTTTCCTCAACCTTGCGCTGGTCGCACACAAGTTAAAATATTTGGTCAAAGTAACCCAAACCAAACAGATTTATTTTATAAATAGGCATTCAAATTGTTACAACAAAACCACATACTTAAAATGCAGTTCCCCTTTACTGCTTGTTGATGTGTCAATATGAGTCACCAATCCTCAACTAAAGTCATCAGGTTCGCAGTGGGTTATGCCATGCAAACAGGAACGGACAAGGTATGAAAACCCTATAATAGCAGAGCGGGCAGTTTGCCTTAAATGACATAAAATTTTGAGTTAAGATATTTATACACTGATTTGCTTACCTTCTTTTTAATGAAAATGCAACAATTCAAGATGCTACATATGAAGTCTGATATGTAGGTGTTATTTCTTACTGTACAACTCTTAAAAACAGGAATTTGAGGGTGTGGAAGCTCCTTTCAACGGCCACAAATTGTAAATTTAAGAGTGAATTTAGTTTTCAGATGCCCAGAAGCTAGAATAAAGATTTGTCAGCTTCCCATTGGCTCTGAGAATAAGTCATCCGTGACAGATGGGGATTGAAAGTAAACCAGTGGATACTCAGCCGTGCCTCAATACAGCTGGGGGGAGGCCTGCAAATTGTTATTTTTGAAAACAACGATCCTCAGAAATCACTATATTTACTAGTGGGAGGGTCAAGCTATAATCTGCCCTAACAACATAAATATGTGCAAATTGTGGTCAGAAATTTTGTGTATCAACTTTAGTTTCTATGGAGGTTGAATATAGCCAATGAAAAAAGTTTGAAATTTTCCTGCCGGTACACAAAAGAATCTAAACATTACAGGAAAGTTTAGTGCACCCCACTCAATTATAAAGTGGTGAGCATAAAAAAAAAAAAAAAGAAGCCCAATGAGGTAAAATTTATGTTGCGTAGAGCATACCCATGGGGGCAACACAGAAAGTGCAGTACTTTCCAGAGTAACATACACCGAAGTGATTACCAAGATTTTGTTCCTCGAAATGTAACCGCACCTGCTCAAGGGGGCTACGAGCGCAACTGAAACAAACTCAGCAGCAATGGCTGGCACCTACTTTGTAGCCACTGAGCAGAGGGCTTTGACACCTCAACATGGGATATCTCCGACAAGTTGCATTGAATTTTGGATAAAAACTGGTCTCTTTTGCAAACGGCTGCTTATACGTACTTGGGAATCGCAAGATATCGAAGTGCTATAGAAGTTTAGCAGTTTGCACCAAAAGGGAGACAACTGAAGAAAAAGATCTTGTGCCATTCTTATCCTGACAGTGACTACAGTGCATAATGCACAAACTTTCTCACAACTTTTCTTTTTACAAAGTGGTGGATTTGTAATGGCACATGAAGCAAAGAGTAACTACACTCGGTAGGCAATCATTTTCAAATGTGAGAACAGAACCGGTCGGTGGCCGGAAGGAAAAAGTGGTCTTAGCTACGAGGACGTAGTTATCTAAAGAGAAGGTTGCACCATCACTCTTCCGCAACGACATGCCGCCAATACTCACTTGTTACAACTCGCGTCGCTCGAAGCGTGGCGCCCCGAGAGCCTCCCGCTTGAGTGCACCTTATAATGACTAAGCAGAGTAAATTTGCGAGCGAAGTCCTTGCCGCAGATCTGGCACTTGAAGGGCTTTGCCCCCGTGTGCACCATCTGATGGTGTGACAGGTGAGCCGCCTGCGAGAACGCTTGCCCGCAGAGCTTGCATTTGAAGGGCTTCTCTCCCGTGTGAGTCCTTTCGTGAATGATGAGCAAGCACTTGCGCGTGAATGCCTTGCCGCAGATCTGGCAGTCGAAAGGCCGCTCCCCCGTGTGAGTTCTTTCGTGTCGTGCCACACAGGTCTTGTCATAGCTGGAGTAGTTGCAGTAGCGGCAGTGGTGGTACGTCCCTCGCCACTGGTGTACCGTCCTCCGGCGCATCGTCACCGACGTCTGGAACGAGAACGGGCTACCGAAGTCCTTGCAGCTCCAGCTGCCACCGGCTGGATCCAAAGGGATCTCTCGAGGCTCTGTTGAAAGCAGCACACAAGGGGAAAGTGTCAGTTTCATTGTATGTATGAGCTTAACAAACGGCAAAAAATGCTTGGCTCTGTTTTGCATTTCTGGGGATGATATCGGTTCTGACGCCGGGTGAAACATCTGCATGGTAACACTAGCTTGAATTATACTAATGTAAAGTGCATAAGGACTTTATGAGGTTGAAGAAATTATAAAATGGGATTCACGTTCCTTGGATTGTTGCAAAATTACAAAATATTACAGGAGAGTTTGGTCTTTTTTGAAGGTCAAGGAGTTAATGATGAAATGTCAGCTGACACCAGAGTACATGATAAGCATACCACACTGGATAAACACTAGAAGTGGGAGCAAACATACATCCCCAACAAAAATACAGATTTTTAGACATTTGAGGCATAGACACACAGATAATACAGAATAAAAAAAATTATGCAACAGATGTGTACACCTTTGCCAACAAGTAAAAACTGTCTCTCTAGCTCTCAACAAAAGAAGAGTATTAATATAAGAGGTATTCACCGGACGCCATATCTGAGGGCGATGTTTAGAGCGCATGCTCAGACGGAGCTTACATTAATAGGCTGCTAAAACCAACAATCTTGATGGTGCGGAATGCACGTTGCAGAGGAACTGTGGGAGTTTGCCGTCGGCATATGCTCAGCAGTTGAGCACATAGCTATGGCCACCACTGAATACCCCCTATACAGGTTGGTTTCTTTTACACGCAACAGATTCCTTTGAAAAAGGTGAATCACCCTTACATGGGTGCTGTCTTCACTGTGGTGCATTGAGCGGACTCGGCGGACGTGAATTGGGACAATATTCAAAGTCTTGGTTTTATTAGTCATGTTCCGAGTTTTGAAAGGATACTGCAATGAAATTCTAGCGCCTATTTTACTGTCTAAATATCAACCACCTTCTGGCCACACCACAGAGACACAAATTTTTTGCTTGAAAAGACACCGAGACATTATATATAACACGGCTAAACCAAATGCCGTCATGTCACACTGCACATAAAAGCAAAGCCGACCGAAAACGTACGACGGCAAGCTGTGTGTGCGCAAGCCCTGTCCAACTTGGCCAAACCGGATTTTCCTTCTCACCCCCACCAATTTAACCCCCGCAAGGAGTGTGGAGGGGCAACTCAAATAGCCTGGTTGTAACGCATTGACGCCACCAAGGCTCACAACCATGCAAGCCTCTCTATGGCCCTGGCCGTGAAGGAAAACCAGACGTCACAAATGCACTGGAGGCGCTGGATCTCCCGAGACTCATCGCCTTCGTGACATCTCGATTTCCTTTACGGCCAAGGCTACATAAAGGCTGGCGTGGTTGTGAACTTTGCAACTTGGTAGCGTCGACGCATCACAAGCTGGCCGTTTGAGCTGCTCCTCCTCCTCGCAGGAGTGAGAAGGGAAATCCGGTTCAGACAAGTTTGACAGGGCTCGCATGCACGCAGCTTGACGTCATACTTCCACGGAGCGACGCTTCTTTTATGTGAAGTGTGACTTAACGACATTCGGTTCACTCATTTTAAATAAAATTTCAATGTTGTTCCAAGCAAAAAAAAAATGAAAGCCGTTTACAACTCCCTGTAACACCGAATTGGAGCGCAGCTCTTGAGGAGTAGGAGGGAAGGGTACTGAGGGTCACGTGTTCTCGGGGCGGGGGGGGGGGGGGGGGGGGGGGGGGTGTCGCGTGACCTCGGGGGGGGGGGGGGGGGTCACGTGACCCCCCAGAAAAATTTTTAGCGGGGAATTTTTTCCGCTATATCTAGCGGGGAAATTTTTCCGCTAGATTCAGCGCGGAATTTTTTCCGCTAGATTTAGCGGGGAATTTTTTCCGCTAGATTTAGGGGGAAAATTTTTCTGCTAGATTTAGCGGGGAAATTTTACCGCTAGATTTAGCGGGGAAATTTTACCGCTAGATTTAGCAGGGAAATTTTACCGCTAGATTTAGCGAAGAATTTTTCCCGCTAGATTTAGCGGGGAAATTTTTCCGCTAGATTTAGCTGGGAATTTTTTTCGCTAAATCTAGCGGGGAAATTTTTCCGCTGTTTAGCGGGGAATTTTTTCCGCTATATCTAGCGGGGAAATTTTTCCGCTAGATTCAGCGCGGAATTTTTTCGGCTAGATATAGCGGGGAATTTTTTCCGCTAGATTTAGGGGGAAAATTTTTCCGCTAGATTTAGCGGGGAAATTTTTCCACTAGGTTTAGCGGGGAAATTTTACCGCTAGATTTAGCAGGGAAATTTTACCGCTAGATTTAGCGAAGAATTTTTCCCGCTAGATTTAGCGGGGAAATTTTTCCGCTAGATTTAACTGGGAATTTTTCCGCTAAATCTAGCGGGGAAATTTTTCCGCTAGATTTAGCGGGGAAATTTTTCCGCTAGATTTAGCGGGAAATTTTTCAGCTAGATTTAGCGGGAATAATTTTCCGCTAGATTTAGCGGGGAATTTTTCCGCTAAATATAGCGGGGAAAATTTTCCGCTAGATTTAGCGGGGAAATTTTTCCGCTAGATTTAGCGGGAAAATTTTTGCGCTAGATTTAGCGGAGAATTTTTTCCGCTAAATCTAGCGGGGAAAATTTCACGCTAGATTTAGCGGGGAAATTTTTTCGCTATATTTAGTGGGGAAGTTTTTCCGCTAGATTTAGCGGAGAAATTTTTCCGCTAGATTTAGCGGGGAAATTTACCCACAATGCACCGCGCGGTTACGCCGACGCCGACGGCGACGCCGACGCCGCTCAAGCCGGAAACGGGCACCTAAGAGCTGCGCTCTAAAAAAGAAAAAACTGGTGTCTTTGGGTTGTGGTCAGACATGCCCAAATTTCAGTGTGGTACCTTTTTAAAGCCAATCAGTAATAATGGTTGACCAATTTATACAATTTATGAATAGAAATAACCTTTGTGATATTCAGCTATATGTATTTCAATGCCTGTCGGCAATTCAAAAAGTGCCTGCACGAAGTGCACCTTATTATTGAGGCACAAGAGTGATGCACCTGTGCCGGTCACCTAATTAGCTTGGCAGCGCAGAGTTGTTGGAAGCATTGACAGACACTGCCTAGATAACCGGTCACACTTCTCTGCATTGCTTGGGGCTCTCCACCGTAAATATTCAGGCGCACTTCTATGACCGCACTTCTTTAACTGCTCACAGGCTCGAAAACTTCTGGATTAATATCTCAAATATCATTGCTTTCTTGTAAATTGTATAAACTTATTAGTGATTGGCTTCAAACTCTGCAGTTGGAGCATGACTCATAAGACCAATACTAAATGTTTGTTAGGCAATTTTAGTTAATTAGATGAATATTGCCCAGTCTAATGTCCGCCGAGCCCGCTAAACACAGGGTGTCACAAAAGAAAATTTACAAGGTCTTTTTTACCGCCAAAATAAACTAGACATCGCCAAACGCTCATTCTCCGCCCAAAGGTAGAGCTAGAGGTCACAACCAGATGCCAAAGTTTCAGCTCGGTCCGATAACTTAATCAAAAGTTATAAGTGATTTTCTGAAAATTTCAATGGGTAAATGAAGCCCATTTTTGCCCGTTTTCGGTTTCCGGTGCCATAGAGCCCCATGTGTTTGAAAACTAAGTCGGCCGCCATTCTCACCCACCTCTTCTAAAAATTCTGTCACAAGTAAAGGGAAACACCCTATTCAATCACTAACCACAGACCACATGCAAGGCCTGTAGTCAACATGCCTAGGATATGGTCTGTGGTTAGGCACGTAGTAAACCTATTGCACTCCACTACATACAGCAAACTGAATGGTGAAATATGAATTGAATGAGCATGCAGTCTGTAAAAAAAGTGTTCAACGGTCAATAGCTGATTGCAGAGACACCAAGGATGAACACAATCTATTCTCTGTTTGGCATGTCATAAATGTTGAATTCGGTCGAGCTGTTTGAAGACGAATTTGGTTGGGTCCTGCTGTCAGACTTCCATCTGTTAAAAAGAAGGAATTTTTTTATATCAGTTACGCTTCACAATGTCTTAATTTTCACACATAGACAACTCTGAGAAGTTGGTAACATGAATGCACCTGCAACACATGAATTTGAGGGTATGGTTCTGCACACACCGAATATTCCAAAATATGTCATTTTGGAATCATGCTATGATTTACAGTAGAAACTGGCATCAGAGACATGATTTGGAGACACATTTTATCTGCACTGCTTTAATTTGGAAAGGCAGCTGCACCCATTCAAGGTAATAAATCATTACAGAGTTCAGTTTACCATCAGGTTAAAACTCTAATATTTCTGTAGAATTGTGACAAATTGAGTGCTGAAACTTCTACTGGCTAGATGTCCGTGAAATCAATGGGATCTAGCAGTTGCCGTTATGTAAGGATTTGGTAGCAGCTGATTCAGTTTTCTCTTCCTCAACCCCCCCCCCTGTTTTGTGCTGGCTCTCCCAATGAACCTTATGTGAAATTGCTTGGTGGTCTGAGAACACTGAGAGCGTTGCCATTTTAATGTTGGCAAGCGTCGTCGGTACCAAAGAACGGTTGAGGCATCAGAGACAACCATACGGGCATCGTGCAATGGTGCGACAGCTGTGCTTTCCACCTTCCGACCATGAAATGTGGATTAAAAGGTTAAACAACCTACCACAACTATTTGACGAAACTCTCAGAGGCCTGTGCACGCTGGCGAAACCTCGTCAAGGCAGCAGAGCAAATCCTACGCCTTCGCTGCGGAAGCTTACAAACTGCGGGTTGTCACCAGCGTGCGCAGGCCTCCGAGAGTTTTGACGTTTAAACTGTTCATCCACATTCCATGGTCGGAAGGTGGAAAACATAGCTGCCGCGCCATCGCACACTGCCTGCACAATTGTCTCCGATATCTCGAGTGCTAGAAATGGGATGCACCATAGTGATCTCATCTTGTCGATTCATTTTTTCTCAAAAAGTAGCTCTGCTCTTTTAACATATTCACATAGTTGATACTGATCTGCGTCCATGTGCCCTTTGTTTGCTTTATTTTTTGCTTCCCAGCTTTTTGTAATGTACAACAATTCCACTACTAGGCTCCAAGCACGAGCTATTCTATGAAAGATGCAACTCGGCTGTGCGAACTCTCGATCAGCAGGAGCAACTGCCACAGATAAAGCTACGAGCTCAGTTTTCTCGGCTTCAAAAATATCAAGTATTTATTCCGAGTGCTGTAAGAAAAATCGTAAGGAAAGCAAGAATTGCCAAATTAATTGATTGTCTTTAGAGGCATGTTAAACCTGGTTAATTCCTGAGTGAAATGAGCAAAGAAAACCACAGTGTGCTTGTTCTCTTGTTCTATGAAAAATGCCAGCACGTTGGTGAGGCGGTTTATTTTAAATCTTTATCACATCAGGTCACGGCCCAAAGTAGTCATATAAATGAATCAAATCTCGAGATGTCACTGGCAAAGCTGTGTGTTTACAAAAAGCATAGAGCACAAGGTTTGTTCCCTTAAAAAACTTTTGAATCCCCTCCCCCGTCTTACACTCTAACAAATTCCTGTACATCTACTTACTTGCAAAACACTAAAAGAGCCAATCATTTCGATCTACGAAATCACCTCAGCGAATGATGAGGTGGAACATCCATTTAGAGCTAAAAAAGAAGTCTGTGCTGCAGCATTACGCAATGCAAAGCGTCCTGCTTTAATTGAATAATGCCACAGCATAAACTTAATTTTGAGGTCTAAACAAATTTTCCGCCTCATCATTCGCTGAGCTGATTTGGCAGATCGCAGAGATTGGCTTTTCGAGTGTTTTGTGGGTAAGTAGACGCGCAGGCATTTGTTAGAGTGTCCGTTGGCCCTCGACCTTATCAGTGTGGGCTATCTAGCTCCCACACTCAAGTGAGTTTGAGACCACTTCCCTAGGGATTGCTTATCTTGTGCACAACACATTGAAAACTCAGTTAAATGTGATAAATAATTACTTGAAAAGCAACTACTAGAGTTCCTGTAATTAGCATCTCGAGATACTAATTACAGGAACCATTTTTGAGCTACCTAGTACTGAGTGTTGGCATTTAATGATGTCACCATGTTGCCTGCAGAAATGGATTGCATAATGACATTCCAACAATGCTTCAGAAGTGTCCAATGTCAAAGTGCCATGTCCACTTTTTCAATTTTTCTAAATAGGTGCGCCTAGTTCCCTTGAAGCCACATTAAATATATTTTTGTTTGAATATTTTTAAGCATACAAAGAATTCAATAATAAAACAGAGCCCAGCAAGAAATCAAAAAGAAGACACCAGTTCAATCATAACTTTCATGGTGCCCAAATTTCCCTTGTAAGCATGCATTTTGACTTCACAATGGCTTTGGCCCCGCCCAGTATACAAAGCAAATGCACTTGACGAGCCTTCCTATCTTTTTTGTTAACATGGACTGATTTTACCCATGTCGCCAGATTATTACCAACCCACAACAAATAAAAACTGCCATTCCAAATGACATAAAACCTCATTGAGTGGACTATCTTTTCCGTCTACCGAACTTGACACACTTCAACAAATGCGGAGACTATATCATGTAATAACTGTGGACTTTCTCCAGCAACATTAAAATCAGAGGCAACGAACACTAACAGGTGACCACCAAAACAGTTACAAAGACAACATTATGTCAGTTTTTACCTGTTTATACATACACAAATCTGTACTTTAGCTTGTGCTGTGATGGACTGTAGCAATACCTTTCCAAATAACATCTCTAAGCATTACGCCCCATTCCCCACAGCATGCTCTCTCCCTGAACTGGAGCACTGAAAGTGCCAGCTATGCACACTCCGACAATGTCATGGTCTACATACTGGGCAGCTGAGCATGGCTTTGCAAATATTGGGGTCAAATATCATAACGAAAAATGTGATTGGGAGGATGATTGTCCACTTACCCTCTGCCAATTTTGCTAACTTCTGCTGCAGCCTGCAGCAGATAGACAGGGCTTCTGCATTTATCCAGACGTCTTTCCCACAAACACCCGAGTGATTTACTTATTGAGCCCCATATGAAACACACATCACTGGTCTAGAAGTTCTCCATCACACATTGAAAAAACTTTCCTGAAGAACAAGTCATGACATTTCAGGCTCCTTTAGTCACCTGCATCAAGCTTGACTAAAACAGTGTACTCTTTCTCTCAGATTCTTAGGAGGTTTGGTTTTAGTGGTTGCCGCTAGCTTCTATCTGCGAAATATCGGCTCTCCTGAACCAAGAAAGGTTATTATTACAGCGATACCTAATATGGAGACTTTACAGCTGCATTTGTGGTGGCGTTCTGTAGGCAAAAACATAGCAACGTCGTCAAATCTTGTCACATCCAACCAGAGTAGTTCACCCCTCGACTGAAAGATGGCGGGCACGATGGCGCTTGCCTTGGGCTGGAGCAAAACATCTCATTATTACAATGATAGCTACAGTGATAGCTCAATGATACTACTTGTCTAAATTTAATTCTAGGCAGGGACGTTGACTCACATTTTCAGTGTTTTCCCCATCCCATGCATTTCAGTGACCGCAAGGCTCTGTTGTGTGTGATCGAGTCAATCAAAAGCGAATATGGATAAAAGTGTGTGTTACTACGTCTGATGACAGCCGTCGCTTTCGCTCCTTCGCACATTGTGGCGAAAAGCTTCGGATTTTTCTTCTTTTCTCCTATTATTAAACATTTCTGAAAAATTTTAAAAGGGTAGCAATAGCCAACCCAGGCTTTTTCTGTAATTTCGGCACACCCACAATTAAACAAGGGCAGAAAGGAACAGGCGCGACACACAAACACTGACTCGCAGCCGTTCCGTTTTACAAGAGAAGTTGGGCTCCGTACTCCACCGTGTCGTCTGGGTAAAACAGCCTAGCTCCCCACTTCCGATTCCGTTGTGTCGGCAGCAGAGGTCGGAGTTTGTCGGCATCAGAGCTTCGCGTGTAAAGTACAGATCTGAGTTTCGATGTTTCACTGTGAGAATTGTATGCAGAAGTGTCAGAAGTATAATTCTGTTCACATAAAAAATATGGAAAAAAGAAGACAGTGCGCAGGTCCAAACTAGAACACGTAGGAGACTTTAACAGGGGAGCCAGCAGTTCGTGTTCCGACCTATAGCTGATGACAGGCTAAAACTTCCAAGGGAAACTCCTCTCACCTCTTTCCATTGTAGCAGAGCGGACGCTGGAAAGGAGGTCGCCTCCTCTCCAGCGTCCGCTCCGCTGAAGTAGAAAGAGGTGGGAGGAATTTCCCCTGAACTCTCAACCTGCCACTAACTGTAGTAGTGGAGCGATGCTACATAACTGCCTGTAAAGAAAACTTGTGAAGTGCGAGTGACAGCTGAACAGAATGGTGGGCCAGTTGATACACCGTAGAAACACTAAAAGCGCCAGAGAACAAAAACTAGACGAGCGCTGTTTGACTACTTTTTAATGCTTGTTCCCTGACGCTTTTAGCTTCCCTTATGATGTTACTGACACAACAGCTGATACGGCTACTAGACGAGGGAGGGTCGGATTAGAAACGGTGACGGTACGCTAGCATAAGCAACACTAGAGAGATCCGGCCGTGGGACGAAGCAAAAGGTGCCTTACTTACGATTAGCACTCCGGCAGAAAGCTACAGAAATCGTAAACTACACACATCACTCGGCTCAAAAGCTCGACTTCGCACAATCGCAGGAAATATCACAACCGATCAGAACCAACATGTATCACCTGTATCACAGCCTATCAACGACCATCGTTGGATCGAGATATCTTCTGCGCTGGATTGAAACTGAAATAATGGCTAGTTTATATTAGAGCACTATATAGCTCCTACGAAGGAGCTATATAGGTTTTCATGGTGGTGCCCACTATTTTTTTAAGAAGTATAAAATATTTTAATTGCGGAATATATAGTGTATCACTAAAATTTCTTTTATAATAAAAACAAATATTTAATCGTGTTTGAAAGTGAAACTGAACGAGAGCTAGGAGTAAATATTTTATCCACATCTACATCTAATCCAATCCAAGAGGATTGCCAAAAAATAATAAAAAATGGAGTTTTCAATTTTGAGAAGTACCTTTGGAGCTTACTCTAGTTCACTGTAGCTGGGGTAATGTATCCAGGATTCGCAGTAACTGCTGTGCGTCACGCAAGCGTTGTTTCCTTTCTAACCGCCGCGGGAACAAACCCCACGAGAGAACCCCACGGGCTCCTTGCGCGGCACTGCAAAACATATTTCACGGTGGGGGAATTTTTGATGCGGGTTCCGTAAACCCGACAATTTGTGAACGGGACGTTTGACCTGCAACGACAATCATGGTTGATGTCTGCGAGCTGAGCGTCGGATCACTTGATGGCTCGTTCTTTCAACCTCTATGTTCGATATGCTAGTTTTCTCTTGAAATAGTCGTTCTGCAGTGCCCGGCCACAAACATTGCGAGGGTCTCAAATCTCGTGGAAATCCACCATTTTCAAAATTACCGTTGTTGAGTATCTGGTCGCATTTGTGCTTATTGTGGGCTATCTTTGGCCCTTTAGTTCGGTCAGGGCAGCACTATCCCATTGCCTTTCAATCACCACAAGAAGATGAACACACAAATACTATCCATTTTTTTAGGCAGGTGGCAGCATTTGTTTAGGAAATGATGGATTGGGTGACGGTCTACAATATTTAACCCATTTCAACCTAGCTCTGAGACCTGCGAGGGTTCAGAACGTTTTCATTATGAGGCGCGTAACACTTGTCTGTTCCAACTGTTCAAGTGTGCTCCTATTGGCCGCAACAGACACACCAAGCAGTAGCAACTCCTACAACGCCGAAAAGAAATGCTGGGAACTTGCTCTACTGAACCAGGCTGTAGCAGGCAGCGGAGGCAACCTCGGAGAATAAGCAGGCGAGCGGGTGAGGGCAGGCGAGCAACTTTGCTACTCTTCTTCCTTTCTCTTACGTCAAATACTTTACTAGGCAACGCATCTAACTGTGAAAATGTGATGGCTGACAGTTTTTGCTTAGTTGGAATTGGCTAGATGTGCGCGGCCTCGAGATTTTCTTTTTTGAATTGTTAGGGGTGGCTGCTGTTATCTTCGTTGTTGGCATCCTTTGAGACAGTGGAGACAGCTGCCTTTGCGTCTTGGCGAATCCAGTATCTCGGTGCGTCAGTGGCGGCCCTCTCCCCTTGGCACAGCGCGATTGCGTGGACGGCAGAATGCGCACACATTTTTTCAGACGCGAGGTTTCCAAACTGCTCGGGAAGAATTTTGCACTGTAGGCACGCTGTCTATTGCAAATGAGTGTAGTAGCATGTATTCCTTCTAATAAATTATTTGGTTATGTTTCAGACGAGATCGCTACTCGTCTGAAACAGTTCATGAGATAACCATACGCTCAATTTATCCGTAAATCTGTGGCGCTACTCCGACGAGATCGATTGTGGCAGTGGACGTTCATTCGAAGTTTAATGGTTTCGCAGCAGAGGATTCTTGACCAGCAGATGACAGCTGGTTCCTCCGGGCCTCAAATTTGGCGCACTGTCACAAAAGCTCCCACGACATAAGGTCATGTGCCTTGCTCCGACGTTCTTATTGGGTAGTGGGGCCCCTAGCCTTCACAGTTTGCCAAGTTATCATAAAACGGAGTATAGTTGTGAATGACTTACTTCTCAAAGGCCTTTATCCTGTGTCTGAGCACAAAAGAAATCTGAGAAGTATAAACTGTGTCAAGTGCAGGGACACATGTTTTGTGTTTCTCAATTTTTTGTTGTTCCTTACATTCGAGGTGTTAAATCTGCTCGAGCTTGTCTGCCCACTTTTCACTTTTTCTTCAGTCCGTTCTACTTTGTTTACACGTGAAGTTTAAGTTACCACTCCTGTAGTATACATGGCACTTTGTCACAAATGTTTTTTTTTACCCTGACTGCAATCTTCTATTTGTTTTTGTTTTTCAGGTGTGTTTTGTTGCTTGCTGGAAACCAGGGTTGTCAATTTGAGAGGGGGGTTCTGGATTGTGTACTATGTCATAGGTTTGTGCACTTTGTGTAGGATATCCTGGAGGTGTGTAGAAATCACTGCTTGAAGCATTTGAAATCGGTAGCAGAAAAGTTGTGCCGTACACAGTAATCCAATTTATTGTACTGCTTTTTTTGTGTCCTATAAATCAATATAACTTGTCTATCTGAAATCTAATTTTTCTTAAAATATGTGACTCAGCATTGGAATGATGCGATTAAAATTTGAACTGAACTGCCCTGTTACTGAAAGCCGGTAACAAGAACTTCTCTATGAATGGAGTTCATGTTCATATTTAAGAAAAGTGACTCTGTGTCCTATTATTACATTAGAGCAAGCAAAAGTTTTGCTTTCTTGAGCTCATGATTCACTCTAAATAAAATGTCGGCTTCAGGACTACTTCTTTCTGTTTTGCAAGACGGAGGCTTTGGCGTGTAGATGGCCGTAAAGATATATATATATTTTTTTCTTTAATTCTTGAATTATACAATTCTACTTGGCTAAATTAAAATAAAAATAGAATGCCTGTAGGGTAATTAATTTAATTATAAATGTGCTGATAGTGGCAACTTGTATGCTGCTGTTTGGAAATTTCGAGTCTCAGCTTTCGTTTGACCTTATAAACTATTTCTCCTAATCCTGCTTCAGCAGCCTCTGCTCATCCTGAAAATGCAAGAAGACAGTGCTCACTTGGGGACTGAGGACTGTGATGCACAGTCGTGTGTCTCTCTTCATTGCTTGGCAGCCAGAGTGCATGAAGGTCACATGAACATAATGGAATTCGTCTCGCTTTTACTGTCTTTCATTGTCATTCAAAGCAAATAATTGTTCAACATTCTTGTCTACCTTCAACAGCTGTTAGGATGCTCAGCACACACGATATGCATGTATGCAACATTGATTTCAGGTTGGTAATATGATGTGCTTGCTCTGCAGCTTCCTGTTTATCAGATTTAGGTGCAGCAATTTGTTTTACTTTTGCTTTCTTGTCCGAGTGGTCTTTTAGACGAGTTTATATGTCCTACTGTGTTTGTTTTTTCTGTCGGTTTTATTCTGTGCTCTAAGAATGTCGGCACAGTTTTTTGTTTTATCTGCTCGAAGTTCCAAGTGCCTCAAGGCTTCAACAACTTGTTTTCATGACCCTTTGATGACCCTTTGTGCCTCATGTTACTGTTCTCAATCCTTAATTATACCAAGAAAAAAAAAAGAAAAAAGATTGAAGGATAGTATTATTTACTTTTTTTATTATATTCCAGAATGTATGCACATAATTTTTTCTTTTCAGAAAGGAAGATTCCAAGATACCTTTTGTTCCATGGCACAATTGAGGGTATCATCAACCATGTTGGATGCACTTAGGCCTACATAGCATTTTGTACCATAAAACTCTTAATCATCATCATCCTTAATGGTATCAAACAACTTATTATAGATATTGTTATATTTATAGGTATACTTTGTTTTGAACTGAATGCTTTACTCCATTCCCTTTTTGTATTACCTGCTTTCCTGAAAGTGAACAAAGGTGTGTGGGGCAGTAGCCAAAAAGTGGTAGCCGGGCATTTTGTTCTTGTTCAATATTCGGCAGTTCAGACAGTGTGAGGAAATGTGTACAGCTGTTTTTTTCCTTGCTTCTCACTGAACACTTGTATTATTTACAAGCATAAAGAGTCAGTTTCATCCAGTGTTATGTGTTCTTGTCACTAAGACCTATTAACAAATGTGAATGCTTCTAGTCATATCTAGAGCCAGGGGTAGAATGTGATTATCAGTGACTTGGACTGTATCTGAGATGGAACACATTCATAAAAATTGTTGACCTGCACCAGCTAAACAGTTCCATAATATGCTATACCATATTTCTTGGTCTACGGGTTGCACCATTCTGTAAGTGCACCCCCTTGTAAATAGCCGTTTTGTCAAAAAGAATTTGCGTTTAAGTTGCACTTTTGTATAACTCGCACAGTTACAGAATGCTACAAAGAGTGACACGTGGGGTCATCGTAGCCACAGACCATGCCACCACGCCTTAACCGTCTTCGGATCTCCGAAAGAATAGGCCATCGGCGGGTGCTCTGCCCTACTTTTGTTCTAAATGTGGATATGACCTACATCTTGCACAGTTAAGGTACATACTTCTAAAAAGAAGCTTGTATAAGTTGCATCGTTGTATAGGGTGCACCGGCAGGAGTTTTGAAAAGGAATTGTGACCGAAATGCCAGACAATATTTTTGTTTTGCTTTAAAAAGCTTTTTATTACATTTGAGAACTGACGGGCTCCTTTGTCTTTCTTCGTTCCCCAACAGACTTGGAAGAGACAAGTTCTTCTGTGGCCCAAACTGAGGAACGCTTCCACAGCGGTCACTGCGGCTGGCTGTTTCCTTCGCCAAAAAAGCACTGGAATGTGCTACATCAGCCCAAGAAGGGCAGGCACAAATGGCAGTTCTGCCCTGACACTGGCCGCAGCAGAGCGCACATGTCGCGACACGAAAGGAGGCACACCGGCGTGAAGCCCTTCGAGTGCACCACCCGCAGGAGGTCGTTCGGTGTAAAATATTACCTGATCGTTCACGAGAGGACTCACACTGGAGAGAGGCCTTACAAGTGTGGAAGCTCCGGGAAAGGGTTCGGGGATTTGTCTCAATTGACCAAGCACAGGAGGATGCATGGCGGAGGTTGCCCCTACACCTGCCGCAGCTGTCGAAAAGACTTCTCAGACAAGGACAGTCTTCGAGCTCACCCTTGCGCTCCACACGTGTGGTCCTAATGGGATGGCAGTTCGTTTTGGAAGTACAAAGGAGTGTTTTTGGAAATGGGCACGTTTGGACCTGCCTTAGAAGGCTTTGCCGTTTGCTGCAGTTCGTTCACCAGTGAGCTGACGGAGCAATAGAAGTCACATACTCGCCTGACCAATCATTTGCCTATCTTTTATTGCCCGATCCCGCTTGACTTGTGAGTTTGCGGAGAGTGTGATCTTGTGGTGTTAGACCAATGATTGACCAGTTCAATGAGTGTGTAACTTTCATTGCCCAGTCAACTTAGCGATAAACAAATGACAATTAGGTTTTTTATATGATGAATGCCATTGTTTTCCATGATCCTTATCCTCATGTTATTTTGCTGCTGGAGTGTCTGCAGGATTTTTTTTTATTAGTTACCAAGGTGAAGAACATTGCTCACTGTTCTCACTAAGTAACAAGACTGCTTACTGGATTGATCACATTTTTCTGTTGAGATATTTTATAATTAATTTTCACTATTTCACAACTTGTTTTCAATTTGGAAGATTTATTTTGACCAGCATAGAAGAATTTTCGGGACCTCCATTTAAGTGTTGTGATTTAAGGTTCTATACAATGGTTGGCAAACTTCCTCTGAGGGCAAAGTGGAAGTTATATTGTGGGGAAGTAATTTTGCACCCACTTTAGTTACCTTTCAGGGGAAAGGCTACCTTGGATAGGGGGAAGGCAGACTCCTATGTTCTTTTTATTCATCCGAAACAAATTCCTGGAACCATAAGTTGAAAAGAAGGTTTTTCTTTTATTTCAACAATGTTATAGCCATGGAAATAAACCAGGTTGCTAGATAGATCGCATCTGGTACTTTTGTAATGAGGCAGCTTAGTACATCGATGGATTATTGGTGCAAGAAAGGCACACTGGGTGTTGCGTCTCTACCGAGTTTCATATGTATGTTGCTTAGTTTAGTTTGCTTTGACTAATTGATTGGCTTTGTTGTGCTTATTTCTGTCTTATAGGTCTGTGCCACCAAGAATGTGGGTATGCTCTGTTTAGTTTTGTTTGCATTCCACCTAAATGGAAAAGTTGGCAAAATGCTGACACCAGTCGTGTTTTCGTGCAGTGCATAGGTAGTTTTCACGGGAAAGTGTTGGTTGATTTTTGGTGAGATACCCGGTATATGTATTTGTTAATTATTTTCTGCTTTGTTTGGCAGTGTTTATAAGGATTTGAAGTTTTTGAGCTTTTTGCGTTCCAACTCAGAATTAATAGGCTTGAATTTTCTTTCAATCTCGACGCGATTAACCTGAGTGAGGTACATTCGTCGGCAGTTTTACGAGGCGTTGTTGTCCGATACTCGTTGTCGAGGCGATATGACCGTTGGTACCATTGCCGACTTGTACAAGTCTTTGTTTGGTATCAGTATTGTTTTTAGTGAACAAAAATTCACACATACTGTAAAAGGGGAGTTTCCATTTGTGTTTCGGTGATCAATACAGGTGACTAAACTTCTACGCTCCATCTCGCTGGAACTTGGCAAATGGCAAAGGCTACGGTCCGACTGCAATCGGTGCATTGGAGGGAGACGGATGACCGTGCTCCATGTTGCTAGTTGCATGCAGTGCTGTCGAAGCCACAGGCTAGAGATAGGGGAAAGCCGCTTTTGTACGAATTTCGAGTGTCAGGCTAATTTCCAAGGGAGGCAAGAGCAACATCTGGGTTGCTCAAGAGGGTTTGGATAAGATGGAGTTTCTCTTTCCCCCCTTCTCCAACTGATTGGGTTATGCTCTCACCCGGGCATTCTCGTGTGCATGCTCATCGGAATGAACGCCCAAAATACGGTGTCCTCAAATTGTTCTCGCAGTAATCACTAAATGGATGACTCACTTTTGAAAAGTGTCTGTTGTACTAGATACTGCTTTGTGAGATTTTCTACAATGTTCCTAGAGTTTTGCACAAGACCAACATCGTGCGAGAGTTTGTGCAGTCAAAACTCTGACAAAGTGCGATCAAAGCTGGGATCCTTTGTGCAACAATTGTGTATTGCTTGCACTTTTTTTTTACTTTCGAATTGCTCACGAAGATGGCGTGAGAGTTTTACCGGAGGTATTACAGTGAAACATAGAAGTGTGTTGTGCCGTCCACGAGAGTTAAATGAAAGAAAATGAAAACAAAAGCCTACATGGCTTGCACATGACGTCGTTGCACTATGCCGGTGTCACTCCCACTCTTTCTTGACGAGAAAACGCGAATCCAGTAATGCGTAGTGTGCACCGGCAAAGGTACGCGCTCGGCGGCAGGGCCACTACAATGGCCGCTGATATGACCTCGGCGCCGTCTATTGTTCAGGAAGAAACAGCCTCGCATCTTTTTTATTGTAGAAGCGTTCATGCGGCTTACAAACTGCCTTACTAAAAGATGATGTAGGGGAGGGGGAAAAAAAGGTCTGACCAACAAAATTGCTTATAGACCGTGAAGGCATTTGCACTTTACTTTCGATCGACTGCATGTAACCGCTTACAACAAAGCAGCACCATCTATCGGGTAGTCATGGAACTCTTTTAGTCTGCGCATAACTAGATGGAAGACTTTGCAGCGTCTGCAAGATCAAATCTATGCTGTGTCTGTGAGAAGTGGTCACTTATAACATCAGAACTATTTTTGGCCCACGATTGAGAATGGTGCGTAAAAATATCGGCAAATATATGTAGACCCGAAGTGTTCCAGGCCTGGTGGATTGATGGCGCCAGCGTCTATTCTCGTCGTAAGTAGCTGCAGTGTGGTCGATCGCACTCGAATGCCAATATGTGGACCAGCGTCAAGTGCGTGGAAAGCAAAGAGCTTGTAGCACCAAGTTACACTCTGTTGTGGTTTATGAACAGCGGGACAGGCTCCGTTCACAAAGCCCTCTGCTCTTTCTACGTTAGCAGAACAAACACCAGAGAGGAGGAGAGTCCACTCGCCACCTCTCTGGCATTTGCTCTGCTAAAGCGGAAAGATCGTGGGAAGAGCTTGGTGCTGCTCTTGACCTGCGACGAAGCATAGCAAAGGCCTAGTCAGCCTTCGTACTCATTTTAAAAGTGAAGAAGGGTTTCGTTTTCATTTCAGTGCCCGAAACCGACACCAGGCCCTTCCCAGACAAGCCAAAAGAAATGCTTCGTTCCACGGGAGGGGACGGCTGTTACGGCGACGACTGCGGCACCGTGTCCCAGGGCCACCCTCCGGACGCCCACCCGAGGACGCCGTGCCGGTGGGGAGAGGCCAGGCATCGGTGCCGCTTCTGCCCTTACAGCCACAGCCAGAGAGTTCACCTGGCCAGGCACGAGATGAAGCACACGGGAGAGAAGCCCTTTTGGTGCGACATGTGTGGAAAGGCGTTCACGCGCAGCAGCTACCTGACGGTGCACCAGCGGCTCCACACTGGCGAGCGGCCCTACACCTGCGACACCTGCGGGAAAAGCTTCGTCGGCTCGTCCAGCATGCTGGCTCACAAGAAGCTACAGGCCTGCCAGCTCTACAAGTGCCGGCACTGCAGCAGGGCGTTTGCCCGCGAGGAAACGCTCGTCGTGCACAGCCTCTGTCATAATCAGGCCAATTCTTGAAAAGGGGCAGTGCGGCGATTTTGACTTTGAAAGAATTTGCGGTTTGTATTTTTCGGGTTCATCTTGGTGCAAGTGAGGGAAAATGCGCCACCTTCCCCCGAAACACTGCGATTTCAATTCATAATCGCGAAGGAAAACATTTTTTTTCTGGTCTGTTGCCATGTGTGGCAGTTGTCGGGACTACAGTGTGACGTTTTTCGGAGTGAACGAGTTTTCGTGTTGCCATCTATCGGAAGTCAACAGAAACATTTCCCCTCCGTCGCTAAGCATTCCACCTTTTCCGTGGTGTAACCATCTTTTGTCTCAATCGCTCACCGCAACATTCAGCGATTCCAAGCGGGTGCAGTGCTCTATCGTAGTCAAATCTGGCTTTGAAAAGTTGATGATCGCGGAGGGAGGGTCAGGGCCATGGAGGTAGAATTGAACGTGGTGCACCGGGTGATGGCACTATGCACCTCGCTTAAACCTTCCGCTGTAAAACAAACCAAAAGAATCGGCACCTGTACATAGGAAACTCAAACTTTCGTTGAATGTGGTCAGTTTTACCATGTGAAATTCTAAAGTGTAGTTTTCTTTGTGTAAAACATCAGAGCAGAAAGCTTGCCAAAGTCGAAGTTGGGTGCATTCGCCGACGACCAAGTTAGCGACACTATTTACTTGTGGCGTCATCTCCCGATAGGTGCAGCGAGCAGACGACGCACTTTGTTGTCTGCTTGTTGGTTCTATCGGGAGATGGCACCTCAACTGAATCTGCCTCAGTAGCTCGTTTGTGTATGCAAATTTCTGCACTTCTGATGTTTATTTTGTATCGGAGATTTCCATTTTTTGTTTTTTACAGCTTTTATTTCTTTTGACCTGGAATATTCAGGCTGATTTGCGTCATTTTCGGTTTTCTAGTTTACTAATGAACTCTCCAGTTTAGTTTTTCACCCCAAACATTCTAAAGCGATAGGCTTTTACCTAGAAACACATTGTAGAGAAACGTGCATATTATGAATAAATTTTTAAAATATAGTTTAATCACATGGAACTCTCCTGCATTCCTTCAATAATTTTTTATTTTATTTTGGGGTTCAGGTGGTTTTTAGCTTTGCATTCTCTGATTTAGGGGGAGACTTTCTTGCGGATCTGTGCCATTTCATCGAAACGCATTTCATGGACAACTTTTTGTCAACGCACATTACATGGATTGACGTTTTGTCGACACCACAACGTTTTATAGAAAATCTTTTTGTGGACAGAAGCTCCTGCAACGTTTCGTCGATGAAATGCTTTTTTTTTTTACCAAGTGAATTATAGATTGGACTGCTCTCGAAGGAAGAGTAGTAAATTGAATGATTCATTCATTTATTCATTTCGTTCACTGGAAGGTACTGGAACTATAGTGAAAACATTCCGACGGCTTTGCCTTTGCTTCGTCCAGGAAAAATGGAATATAATCTCAGGCCCAAGCTTGCACGAGGCCTCGTCGGAACTGCCAAGGGTTGGGCAAGCTAGACTATAATATCTGGATGCTGGTGACCGAGGCGGTATGCGCGGAAAGACGCTTTTGACGGAATGTTGTGAGCTTGGTTTGTTATTGAAAGGAATGCAGGAGCCTTTTGTTGAAAGGATCTGTCTATAGTTCGACAAACTAATTGATTCCGCTTTCTCGCACGTCAATAATCTGAAGTTTATAGACGTAGTGTTCTTTGATGTTCTGTACAGAACATTTGCCTGTTGGTATCGATACAGCAAACATGTACGTCTGGTGCATGAGAGTGCTGTTATTTATGGAACATGGTGTACCATAGCCCAAGATAACCCCCTTTGATCAGGTTATCTAGAAGTAGTCAAAATAGTCCTAATATATAATTTTTTTAACTAAAAATGTAGGGGGAAAAAGAATTAGGCAGCACAAAGCTGTACATGTGTAGTGTTTGTTTTGGCACTTTTTGCTTATGTACTAACTTTCTCGGTATTGTGGTTTGTTCTGGGATGATGGTCAGCAAAAAGGATGTTGCATGCCGTTTTGGGTAACGAGGAATCTAAAAGTCTGGTTTTCTTTTTGGGAATCTTGCCAGGTGAGCATACTTTTGATTTGGTCAGATTGCTTGAATTATGTGTAGTCAATACCGAAGTATGTGCATAATTTCATATATTAGAATATATGTTAAGACTATTTGAATGTGTGCCTTTGTTCTTGCATTAAAATTTTTGTTCTGGCATATTTGCTCTCCTTTTATCTTTCACTGTGGCGCGGTTCTATAAACTGCATGATCATAAAGATGCAAATGAATATTAATATTACGAATCAGCTATCTTTGAACACAAACAGTGGGGACAGGATCAAGGTGCTGAGTTTTCAGTTAATCACCCTCTAGAAAAACAGATTATTCTTGCATGCTTGATAAACGAGGTGTTTCGTGAATCATAGGCCAAAACAACCACAAGATAACTACAGCATACAAAAAAGAAAAAAAAAAATTGATGCCATATTAGTCATTGTTTGGGATATTAAAATTTGGATCATAAAGTTTTCAATTGGTAAAAATAAAAGTATAATTTCAGCTAAAACTTGCTAAGCATCATTGAAAACAAAACAAAAATTCAGTAAATTTTAGGACTTCGAAAAACGTCGGTTAACGGGTCTATATCACATGAGCGAATGACATTTTAGCGAACAGCGACATTTTAGCAAATCGACATTTTGGCGAATAACGGGGGTGCACGTTAACCCATCCGCCGTAGGGAGGCTCAAGTGAGGGTGGGTGCAACAGCAGCTAGATCGGGGATCACGGGACATGGACGCCATTTAATTGCTAAATTTTGCTGGGAGTCTATGGGGCAAAGGGTCCTTTTATTTTTTAACTCGGCTCATAAGAGCCCATTAAGGTGCTTGAATAATTTACACGAGGTATAAATGATTATTTTCCCATAGCCATCAGTTTTGTTGCAATAGGTTAAGTATTTTGTTAACGCGAAAATAGTAAATTGCGCCATCTTGGACGCTGCTGCTTGCCTGGCAACCCTGCTTTCTCCTTTCAACGTTTGCAATTCTCGGAGCGAGAGAGGCTGTGCCAAGGCGTTCGTTGCTTGCAATGGGAGGCGAGAAGAGGAAAGGTGCATGGAGCAGCAGGGTTGGAACAGAGCGGGCGTCTGCTCTTGTGCGGGCAACATTGGCGCATATCCTTTCCGGAATCCTCTCTCTCAGGCGCTGCCATTAAATTGCAAACGCTTTCCAGGTTTTGAGTTGCGCCCACCCTCACTAGAGCCTCCCTAATCCGCCACGCTGCGCTTTACGCCGTTTGGCGGCGACAGTATGCGGCGGCTCATTACAAAAATGTAGGGATGTCGCGAACCACCCTAAGTTTGATTTCGAAAGGTTTCGATATCTGCGAAGCGAGCTGAGGTTCGATTTCAATATTTTCGTACCAACCGAGGTTCGAATTCGAAAAATTAGCGACTTTCGATCACAGTGGAGTTTCGAATTCGAAAAGTTCGAAGCTTTCACGGTTTCTAAAATTTCGGATTCGAATATTTCAAATATTTTTTTACTTCGATCAGGTTCGATAAAGTCGAAGATTTCGAAATTTTTTGGAAATAAAATTCGAAAACTTTGAACGCTTCGAATTTTTATAGACATGAAGTTCGAACAATTCGAAGATTTCGAACTTCTTTCCGCATAAAGTTCGAAAAGTTTGAATGTTTCGATTCTCTTTCAACGCTAAATTCCCCCCCCCCCCCCCCCCCCCCCAAAAAAATGAAACTTCGAAGATTTGAATTCCTTTCTAGTTTAAGTTTTCAAAGTTCGAAGTCCGGTTTTCAAGTTCCTCCACAGTTTCAGTTTCAAATAATGTTTTCACGACTCACTGGTTTTCACAAAATCAAGTTTAGAAAAGTTACGGTGTGATAACTAAATTCTGCGAAGTTGGTCAGGCAATTAAATGAGATGACGAGTGTCGCGGATGTGCTGGAATATTTGCCAGTGCACAGTGACGTGTGACCATAGATCAGTAATTGTGACCGCCAGCCCGGGGGGGGGGATCTTTAACCTGCATCACGCAGTAGTGATCACACGAACACACTGTTTTACGAGACTCATCCAGTTCGAAATGGCCAGGGGCGGGCAGGAGGTTGAGGCTCAGAAAAACCTTGAAGCGAACTGGCAAACTACCTCGCCACCCCTTGCACGCTGGTAGTAATCCGATCGAACGCCGCCCGAGTGACACTGGCATATAGTAAGTTAAGTTTGTAATTGTCCTGGAGGTTTATTTTCTGAGACGGAGGAATCGACTCGCAAAAAGCTGACACAACTCGAGGTCGAGGAGCGTTCTACCATACCAGTAACGTCGGAAGAGGAAAAACGGGGGGAAAGAGGGTAGTGGGAAGGGGAGGGGGGGGGGGCTTCAGCTTCCTTCTCCCTCTTCCAGATATTTCGGACTGTTAGAGAAAACAATACGGGAAAGAGGGCGTGATCGAGCTTATTTTAATCTGAAATTATTTAAGCATATGTATAGCTACTGTCACTCTTCACTGCATAAAAGATTGCGTAGATGGGTGGTTCGGAAGTTCAAGGCTATGTCTTTTCGACCTAAATACATGTGCCAATAGTAAAAAAAATAAAAAATAAAAATAAAAATAAATAAATGTGGGGATAGAAAGCTGGAGGAAAAAAAAAAACTATCAAGAATTCGTTGGAAGTGTAGTATTCTTGCATATTCAAAGGTTCAGAACTTCGAAACAAGTTTTTTTACCAAAATGTGTACAGGCTAAAAGAAACACGTCCCAGGAACGTGAAGCGAAAAAAAAAAAAAGTTTTCTTTTAATGACGTGCTGAACTTGAACACTATCAGAAATCTTCTCCCATGAGTTAATTTATTCCTTAACGTGAAAAAACAATAAACACATTATTTTGTATTCTGCAGATGGCAATGATATGTACTGTCTGTGGTGTTAATTTTAATGCGACACCTCAAACTACTTAGATGAAAATAAATATCAAGTTTAGGGCATAATTGCATGTAGATACATGTTTAAAACTCACGTTGAATAACAATAATCACATCTTAAGACGGCACTTACCTAGGCTATACATAGATCATTCTTAAAAAATATAACATCTCTACCATAAATAGCTTCGGCTACAGCGCGCTTCAAATCTGGCACAAACGATAATCGTCAAAAACCCGTAGTCCTTCCTCGCCCCTTCGGGAATTTATTTCTTTAAAACTAAGCATGCCGGAACATTGAAACAAACGACATTGTCTTTCGTAAGGAACGCAGCACCGCGTGTAAAAGTTCGGAAAAAAAAATTACGAATGTACCTCACTACTTGAATCCAAATGAAGCCGTCCGCCGGTCTTTCGAAGTTCGACGAACGTCGAACTTTTACCCTAAACGTTCGAAGTTCGTCGAACTTCTGACTTTTCAGGATTCGAAAGTTCGAAACTTTTCGAATTCTCTTGATAAATCAGTTCGAAAGTTAGAAATTCATCGAATTTTTTGGTCACTCAAGTTCGGAAGTTCGACAAGCATCGAACTTTGCAGCGCAATAAGTTCGAAAGTTCGAAAAAGATAGAATTTTTTAGCGTAATAAGTTCGACGGTTCGAAAAGCGTCGAACTTCTTAGCTTAACAAGTTCGAAAATTCGACTTCTGTCGAATTTTACGATATAGACAAATCGAAATCTTTCGAACCTTTCGAACCGCTTGATTCGATCATTGAAACTTCGATTCAAAAAAAGTTCGCGGCATCTCTACAAAAATGTGAACTCATTTGGCCCACCCGAAAACGCCGCTTCGCGGTGTCCGACTATTCGCTAAAGTGTCATTCGGTAAAACGTGGGCGTTCGCTAAAACGTCATTCGATCAAGTGAGTGCCTCCCGATTTTAACAATGCTAATGGTGGGGCGAGTTGGTGCTGAATTTGAGAATGTATGGTAGAAAAAAGAGCTCAAGACAAGGACAAAATAAGAACTGGACACCACTGTACGCATCAACGCCATCAGCGCTACCACGTATTCTCAAACCCCAAGAAGGATAGAAGGGTACTTCTAACCTCCTTATCAAACCCGGTTTGAACTTTGAATGCACCCCAAGATTTCAGTTTCTCTTGGCAGCGAGAATATTTTTCGATGCAGCGTTTCTTCGATGAGACTGACTGATTTTTTGATGGGACTGAAAATGCCTTTTTGGGGCGGAGACCAGGGGTGTCGCGAACTTTTGTCGAACCAGAATTTTAGGTCGAACTTTCGGGGTTCGACTGGGTCGAACCGGTTCGACGAACCTTCAAACTTTTCAATAGGGGTGTCGCGAACCGGCCGCGGTTCGAGTTCGACCAGGTTCGACTTTTTCGAACTTTTAGTGGAAAGTTTGACGAACCTTCTATTGAGGTTCGACTCGTGTGCGCATGCGCGACAGGCTGGCCAGTTGGCTTCGGATTGGATGATAATGGCTAAGAAATCAATTAGGTGCAGCGCTGATTGGCTATTTCAGTTAATACAGTACTAAAAATTAAGTTATTAACTTCTTCATTGATTAGAATTAGTTTCTTTTAATTGCAGCTTTTCACAATATAAAATAACCCTTTGCATAAAAAAAAAAAAATTTCCAAACCTAGACATGCTTGTATCAAGATCTGGCCACACTGTTCACAAAGTCGAACCGGTCGAATCTGGTGAAAGGTTCGAAGGTTCGTTGAACTGGTTCGACCCAGTCGAACCTTGAAAGTTTGACCAAAAAATCTGGTTCGACAAAAGTTTGCGACACCCCCACTTTTCACCAAATTCAACCTATTTGACTTTGTGGACAATGTGGACAGACCTTGATACAAGCATGTCTAAGTTTGGAGAATTTTTTTTTTATGAAAAGGGTTATTTTATTTTATAAACAGTTGTGATTAAAAGAAACTAATTTATAATCACTGAAGAAGTTAATAACTTAATTTTTTGTACTGTATTAACTGAAATAACAAATCCGCGCTGCCTTTGATTCATCCCTTAGCCATCACCATTCAACCCGAAGCCAACTGGCCAGCCTGTCGTGCATGCGCACACGAGTTGAACCTCAATACAAGGTTCGTCGATTTTAAACTAAAAGTTCGAAAAAGTCGAACCTGGTCGAACTCGAACCTCGGCCGGTTCGCGACACTTCTAGCAAAGACTACTGTCATAAAGATAAAAAGCTTTGAGGTTTAAGCTCTATACTTTAAAGCGACAGCTTTTCTTGGCAATGCAGTGGAAGGTACAGGCCCGCGTTCCCTCTCCCATTTCGAGTGTACGCAGGCTCTCCTCCTCGGATCCATTTCCGGGGAGAGGAGGAGAGCCCGCGCACACTCAAAATGGGAGAGGGGACGCGGGACGTACCTTCCACTGCATTGCCAAGAAAAGTTGTCGCGGAGTATAGTTTGAGCACGAACCATGCAAGAACTAGAGCACGAGAGATATAGTGATATAGTGCTCTAGCAAAAGAACCATGCACGAACTCTCTCCTCAAATGTCTCTCTTGGATCATAAGAAAAAAAAAAAAAAAGAAAAAAACCTTCAAAGTTAAAATTGTTATGACGCTTGGACTTTTTTAAATTAATTTTTTTTTTAAATAACCAGCATTTTAAATAATTATCATACAAACTGCACATTAGTCGTTACAAACAAAACCGAAATTCATTCAAGCTGTCTTGAGCTGGATTACAATCGACTTTGCCCGCGTCAAGAAACCATCCAATCCAGTAATGGCGGTTTAAACGATTACGGTTATCATCCAAAATGCCTTCGTTCCTGCCTGTTGATCAAGTTCTGGGAATTTCTTGAGCTTAAGAAAGGAAATGATTGGCATCTCAGCGATCGTGAGTACGTGAGTAGGATCCTGGATTAGTCTCGAACGCATGATCTTGACGTAACCTGGCGAACCAAGCAGGTTTGCTCATCACTGGTGTGGGTTTCTGCTTGCTCTGGTGGCGAAGTGTTATTCCAGTGCTCTCACTTAAAGGCAATATAAATTAAAGTTACTAATTACACATCTTTAGAACACGACCGCCTTTTCAAGCGGGTTTTGCCGCTTTGTTAGTCATATAATAATCATTGTGTTCTATGTTTAGATAGCCGGAAGTTAGTCTCTTAGCTCTAGATGATAGCCACTGAAGTACAACCACTAGCCTGTTGTCGTGCGCCATGCAGTAGTGATACACGACCGCACGCCGACACGATGCTCATCCTGGTCGAAAACGGGCAGGAGTGGGGATCGACGCTTTTTCCGGGTGCCGCATTTTATGTGGTTTCTCGAAAGTGCGTTATTGATGTCGCTGGTCTGCCGGTGATCGGAGGTGGGAGGAGCCAAGAGAGAGAGGAAAGGGGGAGGGGGGAGGAGGAGGAAGAGGAGGGGAGTGCCAAGGGTTGTGCGTGTACGTTTATTCCAGCTAATTCTTTTTAGGAAAATGATCGTCGACACCCTAGCGTTTTCTTTCATTTTTTATTTCTTGTTAGTTTTTTTTACTAATAAAGAGAGCAATTAAGCCTCAAGGAATGACAAGAAAACAAAAAAAGGTACACTGGCGTCGGCTGTCGACTGATTGGAGTTGGATATTTTCATTGCTAAGCTTTAAAAATATAACTTAAAGTGACAACGAGAAAAAAGAGGTTATCTTCACTTTCCTACTGAGATCAGTAAAGTAACTACTTTTGCTGTTTGAGTGACAAACAGCTTTCTCCAAATATAATTAAAAATCACTGAACTACAATCTACTGGGAAGGACATTTTTCTCTTGCCTGGAAGTTCTGGTGGTATCAAACTCAACTCAGTCGTTCGTAGTGAAAGCGTATGAATAACTGCTGGAAACCAGTAAGATGCAACCTCTAACAACATTCCCTCGTGCAATTTGCAGAGGAATACATAATTTTAACATTATTGTCCAAATTCCTATGTTGCAATTGTTAGGCTCAGCACAGAAAACCGTGCAGATAACTCGTGTCAAGTCAAACTCGCATGTTGTTGCCAAATTTGCTTGCATATATGCAGCCAACACTGGGGCTACCAGCGTAGACAGTGTTGCGCGATATGCTGCCCGCACTACATGAAGAAAGGGTAGAGTTTCTGCACTGCCTTATGGCTGCCTTTTCTCAAAGGCACTTGCTGGGAGCATCCTGGTCAAGAGGTCGTAAGTATAGACCAACAGGCAGCACTGACGTCACGCAGCTGCGGTGGCGCTGTCGACGGCACTGCGTACGTGCAAACGCTTTACTTCACTCGAGTTCGGTTTCTGTGTATGCGCAGTGCCCACAGCTTGTGTGGAAAAATGTGGGCTTGTTTGTAAGCAGCGTGTCGGTCTATAGAAAAGGCTGCGTGCAAGAAAATGTTAGAGCATGACGCAAAATTCTGCCTGTACTCGTTTTCACCTTAAGAAAAAAAAAAGTTTTGCGCGTTGTTCATACGCCGCGCCAACAAGTTTTTACAAGATTTGGTTGTTGAAAAAAAGAAGCAGCAAGGCTTTTGGTATGTGTAGGTCTTGATAAGATAACATATATCTAATCTAAAATGCACCTAAATATATCTGAATTGTACACATAAACGAGGAAATTAGTAATGCTCACGAGGAGCTGGACTTTTTGCTACGGTTCTTGAGGTGAAAACGGGTGCAGCTCTTTCTAAGCATGTTAATCGAGCAAGATCACATTTCTTCATTGTTCATCTGGTTCAAGTTGATGCCTTGGTTTCATAGTGTTCTTAAAATGTTGCTCTTCAAAAAGCATGTTCATACTCTTGCAAGCTCTTAAAACTGGGCTCCTTAAAACCTCTTACAACGAGAGGACACGCTGGCGCCATCTATTGGGTAGCGGTGTAAACTTGGCAGTCTGGCATATTTTCTATTTCTCTCGCGCATTATCCTTTCTTTCTTGGCTCGAAAAACTTTTGTCAAAGTTATAAACGAGCCTTTCCTAAAGGTGTTACGCACATTTGACCTCGGAAATCCTGTAAAACCTTCGCTCTTGTGAAAGGCAGTTCCAGGGTCACCGTATAGATGGCGCCAGCGTGCCAGTGTGTTCTCTCGTCCTAAGAAATTTTAAGAGGTTTTAACAAGTCTCGTCTCTCTCGGTCGTACTCGGTTGCAAGAGATCCTCTGAGCTGTTGTTCTGTCCCAACAATTTCAAGCCAACATCCAAATACAGTCAAATCTTTTTATTGCAAATGCCATTATAGAAAACTTTTTTAAATTTAGAAACATTTTAAAAATCCTTTTCCAAATGTCTATTAGTTTCAATGCAAAAATATTTCAGTACTACGAATTTCAAAATACAAAATAATTCAGGATAACGCACATAATTTAAATGCTCTTGTATGTAAACAACTCCTCAGTTTTGCAAATTTGTATATAAAAGCAAAACAAAAAACAACAAAAAAAAACCTTTGAAAGCGATTGTGGTTACCAAAAATACTTTGAAGTTACAGCAACACGCGCATTTTGGCCTCTTGCCGGCTCCCCAGATGCCCAACCATGTACCAACCATCATCATCATCAAAGATTGACTCGGGGAAACAAATGCGCACTAGGCCGAACCGCCTAACTTTGCGTTCCTCTCCTTCAGGCGGGCTGTTCCGCATCAGTAGGTTGCACATGTTCCTTGGAAGGTGTGACAATGTGACCGAGGCTGTCCACAGGAAGGTGGACGACATTGAATCGCTTGTCTTGCGGCGTTTGTGCTGCGCTAACCAGAAGAAGATTGAGGATTTTTTCATTAACTGTGCTGTGTGTGCTGTGTTCAATCGCGTGAGCGGTGCGAGCATCACCATCAACGTCGGGTCGTTCTTCCTGTAGCGTTTGTGCTGGACCTTTTCTTTTAATAAATATGTAATGTTGAATCAGATCTAGCATTTTATCTATTATTTTTTTTTTCGATGAAACCAAGCGTTTTGATATTCCTATTGCAAAGGTATGTTATTTTTGCTCAGATTTAATTACAATTTACGAGTTTTTCACAATAACAATATTTCAGAATAACGAACGATTTTCACGAGTGTGATGAAATGCGTTATATCGAGATTTGACTGTACTCACCTATTGTTTGTTTTATCCCACAATATAAAAGCCGCAATCTACTGCCGTACAATATTAAAGGGCCAAAGTATGCACACACACGAGATAAATCTGTCACCTTTTCTCTCCATATTCTTTGTTACATTAGTATTCTTGAAATGTACCAACCACCCCATCTACCTATTGCCTTACTCCTCTGTTGTGGTGTCTGGTAGCTTCTTGCTGCCATTTTTCTGCACCTCTTCTTACTGTTCAGATATCTTTAGTTTTATCAACGGGCTGCACCTGGGATATCTTCTCTAGGAGGAGGTAAGGTCGTCAGACTTATGTCTTTTCATTATTTATCTTTCACAATAAAATTTCGCAGTTCCTTCGAGCAACTTGAAATTACACTCCTGTACATAATTTGGATGCGGTACGGGGGCCAAGGTTTTTGGCAAAAGAAGATCCTGCTTTTTTGTTCAATACGTTGCTTTGTTGTAATTCCATCACAATGAAGACAATTGAATTTCTCATGTTCAATGGTGAAATTTTTCTTCCCAGACGAAGATCGACGACGGCACAGCTCAGCTGGAGGAATATCGGGACCTACAAGAATTGCATGGTCCAAGCTCACTAATTGCATCTCCGAGGAAAAGTGCATGTTGTGACTGAGCCGTTCAGTTTTTAAACTGCCGTTGTTGACTTGTTGACTGTTGAAAGTGGTGCTGGATGCATTTTGTGGGGTGTGAGTGATGCTAGAGCCACTCAACCTTTCCACTGTACTGAAACAGCCAAGCTTCGATTTAGAACTGCATCACAGTACTGCTTTCGACCTCGAATGGCGAGGGGAGTATCAGCCTCGATCAGATCGAGGCTGATTCTTTACTGACCTATCGGCTGGCATTCTTCAGGCTATCACCTACGATCCCACCATCTGTTTTAAGCCCTTTAAATTCAGTTTGTTTATCTTTTAGGCTTCCTCCTGGCATCAAAAGCCAGGAAGCTGGATTGGCTTGATTCTTTAGTTCTAGCAGATGCTATGAAATCCAGTACTCTGGACAGATTGAGCAACTTTAGTCAATGGTTTGAGCTTTTGGCTTCCATTGAGTACCACGTGTTTAAGCAGCTGCTCGTGGTCAAAGCTACATGATGATGTGACAGGTTTGTTTGTATAGGAAGAATGTTCTTGATTTTCCTGTTGCTATTGTTCCAATTGTTCCGTCCCTGCTTTGGTCTCTTGCTCAGATTCCTTGCATTGTCTCATCAGTGGCCTGTTGTTTTCATTGTGATGCTACACAGACCGTTTCAATATCCTCTGGAAGCATGAACTGCAGTCACTTCTGTGTACTTTAAGCAAAGTGGGGTTTTGTGTTTATGCAGGTGCTCCAGGCTAAATATAAATGATGTCTAAAAAGAAAGTTTGGAGCAGGAAATTGGCAGAAAAAATAAATCACGAGACATTCGACATACTAGTTTCTCTTGAACATGTATTGGTCATAATGCCGCACCAAACTTCTAAGCCTTAAAGGGGCACTGACACCCCAAAGGTCGTTTTTTTTTGTTGTCTAAAACAATGCTAGCTGTAGTCATAAACACGCAATAAAATACTGCAATGCAAAAACAGATGACCCCATGCGTGCACGCGCCTTTTTATTTCTGACATTTTTTTAGAAGCTTCGTAAGCAATATTTTTATAATATTTAATAACGGCATTCATACGCACTACAGCCCTTCTTGAAATACTGAAAATCGGAGTCCGGAAGTGATGTCGCCTCCTGACTTTTTATCCTCCTTCGGAAAACATGGCGGTGCTCGGCACATGTAGCACTGAGGATGATCGGGGAATCGGACAATGTTCTCTTTTTGGTGCCCGACGACCTCTCAGACTTTGAAAAAGGAATCGTCAAAATGGTCCAAACAACTGGGTTTGGAGTTTGTGCACCTTAGTTTCAGTTGTGACTCCACCGGGACAACCTTTCACGCAGAACTGGTCCGACGTGGCCTCTCACGTCGCTCGCAAAAGTCCGCTGTACATTCTTTTCGACCTCACACTGGTTCAAAGAATTTGAGATCGCTGAAAGGGTTCTAAAAGGAACTTCAAACTCAAAAGTGAACATGCACGGAGAAGCGCAGTTGATCGCAGGATATGGGTGAGCGAGACACTTCCGGTCGGGGCGGTTCGGAGGCGTGAGAGAAGCTCGAGTTGTAGTACGACTCAAAAACAAAATTGGGCTGTTTGTATGTCCATACAGCCTAGAACTTTGTCTGCCTCAACGGGCGACGAGTCTCCCAGCTGTAGATGAGAAATTTAGCCAGTGCAGTACAACCGCTAGCCTGGGGTCTTTAACATGCAACACGCAGTAGTTGTACACGACCGCACGCCGGTACGATGCTCATCCAGATCGAAACGAGCAGGGGTGGGAATTGAACCCAAAATCCTTGGGTTCTGCAGCGCGAGCTTTCGCTCCCCGTGCTCCGAGCTGGTGTGAGCTAGACGACTCATTTGTTGACGTCACTGCACTGGCGCAGATAGCGTGGTAACTTCAAATTCGCCTTTTGGAAATTGTTTTTTTTTTTTACTTCACAAATACCGAGTTCCCAAGCTTAGAAATTTGAGGGTAATGTCCATACATTGTTTTGCATCGTTTCAGATAATAAAACAAAAGGACTTTGACCTGTCAGTGCCCCTTTAAAAATACTCACACCCCTTCAATTTTTTTCTCCTTTTGCCAGCCGATTTAATATGTCGGAAGATCACCCAATCAATATTTTGCTACAGCGTCACATATATTTTTAATAACTGCATTTTCTTTTGTTTTTTGTTTTTCTGGTGTGAAGCAGACGAAAATGCGCAAACATCAAGCACTTCCAGCTTGATGCTTGCACGTTTTTTAAGCTCTCACCAATTTGTGTTCATAACACGAGCAATGTCTTCAGCCACGAGAAGGACGATGGCTCGGCGTCCTTTTCGTGCAAATCGGTTTGGTGGTCGGGCGTGTCATACGGAATGAATCCTAATTGTTTTGATCGGTGAACCATTTCTCTTTTGAAGCTAGACAGATTCGCCGGTACCGTTAACAACAGTTCTGGAGTAGAGATCCCATGCCCGTCGTCCGCCACCATCGCTTTGTCCGCTTCGATCAGCCATCTAGCCCGCGATACGACGCCATGTTGAAAATGCTCAGAGCGTCCGGTTCTCTGCGCACATTTTTTTTTTTTTTTTCAGTTAACATAGTTGCAGTTTCTTAGGAGCCACAAAATATGGGTATCATATTTTTTCTATTTTTAATATTGAGTGTGTACTTTCGGTGACCCGTGACCTCGATTATATTGGTGTGTCTAAACCATAGAAAATGGCCCGTGACCACAGAGAAAAGAGTGAGCGTGACTCAAACTGGCCTGTTCTTGATCGGCGGTTTTTGGGCAAAAACAAAATGAATTACGAGCTGCAAATTGTATTTTGGGTAGTTGGGCTCTCACGTGTCATGTACAAGTAAAAACCTTGGCGAGCATAAATGCCCTGTCAATGTCGCTTTACAGGGCAACGCCGGTCCATGTTTGATATTTAGAAAACTATGCAGCCTTCTTCAGTATGATGTAGGAAGACAACATGTCAAATATTACGATTTACTTCTGTCTATATATTTAATAATTTGGCCAGCAAACATTCAAACGAGCCAAGTCACACTCTAGCGTGCGACGTATCAGCTAACATTGAGCCTGTAGGTCTGAGTGATGTCTACGTCATTCCCACATTTTTGTTAGTTTTTACTTCTTAAGAAAAAATTGAACGATGACGTCAAGAATTTCTCCTCTCGGTGTTGGCTTAACGGTGTCCACGTGATCACCGTAACACGGATGCGCTAGTTTACGCTGCCCTGCATGTTTCTCGGAGCTGGGAGCGGTCTGTTTTGTCTCGCCTCTGTTGCAGGATGAGAACAATGTTTTGTTTACGATACAAAGGCAAGCCACACCTCCGACGCCTAGCTGCGATGCCTGACCAAAGATTCATAGGCTCACAATGTTGCATAGCTGCCTGCTCGAACGACCAGTTGACCAGCTTCGGAGTTGTCTTTCACAAGTTTTCACGCGACGGTGCGCATCTGGATGTATAGACGGGCATCCGGTGCCGGTGGAACTGCGGGAAGCCGTGGTCGTTAAATCGCAGGACAATGATCTGTTCTGATTGCTTATGTTCATGACACTACCTAATTTGCGATGACCAGCTATCTAGAGAAACACGCATGAAAATATTAGTTCTGCTAGGAAACCAAACAAATGTGCATTAGAGCTTACTTATAGCGGCATGGATAATTTCTGCTGACTATTTCGCCATTGACAACAAACATGTAGTCTGCGGTACAGCTTCATAAAGGTACACAATTCAGGATACTACAGCAGAAGACGCATGCACGGTCAAACGACCACCGCGTCGGTCGCACTATGTTCCTGGCGTTTCCCAGTGTACAAGTACATGTGTGTCATGCCTGTAGAAAGAAGGTGTGAATACTCGACCATTTCCGGAAAAAATAAATGTAAATTTGGGTGTTTATGTGCGAGACCTCCGAATGTCATACCTGGGGATCTTGTGACGTGCAATCGAGACCTCGGTTACGCAGCGCCTCCGTGGCAGTAAGCCCGCGTCAAATTGCGGGCACCCCGATCGAGATTACAACCCGCCCACTGGGGATGCGCAGGCTGGCCTATACACCAACTCAACTCTCCTACGTCACGCCGCGGTGGTGGCGCGCCGGACGCACTTCCGGTCTGGGGCGGTGGGCAGAAGTCGCCGTGCCAGACATGCATTCCTGTGTTCCTTTGGAAGAAACAAGACAAAAAACCTGCCTTCTCGTCAAAATGCTGCGATGGGGGCTTTACAAAGAGAGTCTGGGAAGGTTTGAAGATCAGTTTTCATGTGTTTTTGCACCCTCCGTTCGTCCGAGAACGTCGATAGCAGCCGTGAAAAGGGCAAACCTGACGCTGTCGAAGTACGATTGCGTGTGCGGGCCACAACTTGTAGTCGCCAGATGTATTTGCTTTGTTCCAACATGACCGAGAGAAAACCCCCAAGTTGTCCGGACCACCCACGGATTCAGTGCGTCTTCAAATTCACACGGCCGCCTGATCGTTCAAACTTTCGTCTGCTCTTTCAAAGTTGTCTGCTTTTTGTCTTCTGCTCGTTCAAACAAAAGCGGCCCGTAGACCAAACTTTGACCCGGTGATCGCTATAAGAAGTAATTGCAGGCCTCAAAAGACTTGAGTAGGCTCGGTGTAAGCAGTAGATACAAGATGTTGATCATTGGTACCGGTGGCCATCACCTACTTGTTACGCTTTGTCTGTTCCCGCTTCCGATTTTCAGTATCGACGTCGAACATCGCCGCTACCTTCTACACTTTTGCAGCACGAGGGTCGTCGCGACCGAAAATAGCTAGAAGAGTCTCATCATGGTTTTGGCGTCTATTATGCGCCGTTCACGCGAATGAATCGCCGCACGTCAAATTATTTACGCAAAGTTTAGCGGTGTAACGAGCCTTGATGATTTCGCTCAGGCGATTAAAGTGATAAGACATTGCGATGAGGACGTAGAATCGACAACTCCAACGCGAAAAAGAGTATGCAGACTCACACAGACGCCGACAACGTGACATTCGAATGGTTTGTTGACGCGGGACGCGTTGCTTCTTGCCCGTACTCTATTGCGCGTGCGTTCCAACTGTCGTCTGCTCTTTCAAACTTGGCTGCTTTTTGTCGTCAGTTCGTTCAAACGACAGCGGCTCGTTAACCAAACATTGACCCGGTAATTGCGATAATAACTAAGTGCAGGCCTCAAAACACTTTTGAAGGTTGGTTGGGGTAAGTCGGCTAAGTGTAAACAGATACAAGAAGTTGTTGATCATTGTTACCAGTGGCCATCACCGACTTGTAATGCCCGATTCTACTTGAGGTTTTCAGTATCGATGTCCCCCATCTCAGCTACGGTCCACGCTTTTGCAGTCCGAGCGACGTCCCGACTGAAAATAGCGAGCAGAATCTCGACGTGGGAGTCGGGCTTTAGCGCCCATTCTGCGGCGTCCACGTAAAATGAATCGCCGCAAGTCACATTATTCACGCAAAGTTTTGCCTCGATAGTTTTGCTGAAGCCGCTCAAGTAGTCAGACATTGCTAGGAGGACGTAGAATCAACAATTCCAACGCGAAAAAGAGCACGGGGACTCCCACCGACGCCGACAACAACGCAATTCAATGGTTTGTTTATGGGCGACGGCGGGCTTCTTGCCCACCATCCACTGCGCATGCGCGGCGCCGGTGACGTCCGCTAGGGGCGCTCCGGTTTGTTTGTAAACATCAGTTGGTGTATATTCCGAAACAACATTTTGTGGCATTTCGAAAAAGAAAAAAAAATAGGAGTGCGAGTACGCAGCTGTAATTGGTGCCCCCGCAAGGGCATGAGCGCGCACAGCCGGCTTCATTGCCAAAAAATTATGACCACGTAATATGGAAGGTCCCTTCCTGTTGAAAGCTTGGCTGTCACCAAACTTTTAGTGACGCACCATTGTGGCGTCTAAGAAGAACAATAATTTGGCACCTCGCACAGCAGAGCTTCGTAAGCTTTGCGGTGGTCGTTACTAAGCTCTACTGCGTCAACGTAATCGTGAGGACGAGCACTGCGCGGTCGACTCTGTTACAGTTCGTTTGTTTCAGTGGAAATTGGGGCCGTGGCACGCTCGTACATGTGTTGTTTATTATACCTTAGCTTCTACAAAGCCTACGAAATAGGCTTTTGAGCAAATGTACTTTTTTTTTTGGAAAAGAAGCGCAAGCTGGGGTTGCAGTGGTGCAGACGTCGTGCAGGCCAGCAGTACGAGACAATCCCAAGTTAAGTCAAAAGTAGAGAAATGCCCCCAAGAATACCCAAAAGAGCTGTTGGCACCAAATCGGCTCTCCGTCCTGTCCAGTAGTGTCTTTTGGTTTTGGCAAGGGGCTTTGGTCATCGTTGAAGGCGTGTCCCTTCAAGCCGGTAGCCTCCCCCGACTTTGCTTCAGGTGGCATCATGCTGCCTCCAGAAGCTTCCTACATTAATGGTTGTAGCGCACTACACTGGCAAAAAGTGCGGAGCAGACGACACTTGCTATTTTCTCAACGTTCGCCTGCCGTTGTGTAGAGGATCACGTGACCTTTTGGACCACGTGGTTCTTCGTGACGTGGATGTAGCTAACGGCACAAGACCAATGTTGTTTGTCACAACCAAGGTTTTGGTTTCGGTATCTGCTGATGTTTAAACTAAGAGTTGACATATTCCACATTTCGCAAATCTAAGGACGTAGGGCTTTTTGGTAGTGCTTTGGAAAACGGAATCACATGTAAGCTCAAAATTTTTGGAATGGAGCGGAGTTACCGTTTAGGGACAATGACAGGATATTTATGCTAGCCAGGTTTTTATTTTAACACAACTTATACGTGCCTTGCACCTGACGTCATCCCATCGGCTCTCCAGCCACGACCAGAGAAGAGGGGAAGGAGGAACTCGCTTCTCACTGGGACTCTTGTGTGTCCCCGACTTGCCCAGACGTCGCTGCTCTCCGTCTAGAAAATTAACCTGTCTCTCAAAATTCGTGCAAAAGCAGATTTTCACTCTCTTCCCTGGTCTTGCGAATGGGATAATGTGACATCAGTGCAAGGCATGTATAAGAGTCCAACTACGCAGAACATAATTTGCGGCTCAAAAGTAGTTTTCGTTCCGTCCGAAAACGGCCGGTCGAGAATTGGCCGGTTCCAGTCGCACTCAATCTTTTTTTACTTGGTCACTGGCGTTCAAACTATGTGTACCAATCTGTTTAAAGTCGTGGGTCATCTGAGGCACAAATTCAATATTAGGGATAGAAAATATTACGAACCTCATTTTTGTGGCCTCCAAAAAACTGCAAATACGTTGATTATAAAAAAAAAACAAGAAATGTTGCAGAGATCACAGGAAGTTAACGCAGTAAGTACAGGTACACGTCATTCTCAAAATGGCGACGCACTGCGGGATGGACGACACGATGGCGGTGCACGGCAGATCAATGTTGTGACGGATGTGGGGCCGCTGCTTCAAAACTGTCGTTCGTGGTACCGGCTTATCGACCTTCAAGCGCAGAACATCGAGTGGAAGAGATATATGTGCAAAACAGTTGCACGGCAAACAGCGCACACATTCATCGTCATCATTGTCTGCTTCACACGCTGAAGATGCGCATAAACAAATTGTGGTCGAGTGCAGCCTTCTGATTTCCGATCATGAGTTTTCGTGCTCTTGTTTCAGTTTCAGGCAGTTGAGTTTTTTTTGGCTTTATTGAAAATATATGTGGCACTGCAACAAAATATTGATAGGGCTGTCTTCTGACACCATAATAAATCATCTGGCAAATAAAATATTTTTTTTTGGTGGGGGGCAGTGTTTCTTAAAAGGATGCTGAACCGATATTAAAATTTCGCAAAATAAGGCCGCAGAAGCATTGAATGGGATGCTACGAACTCTACGACATCACTCTTACATCAATATCTCAAATGATGACCGTATTTTTTGGAAAAGGAGGGTGCAATCAAGCGAGGATGATGTCAGAATCCTCCTGGAACAGTTGAGAATCAGGGAAAGAGGCCTTACTTTTCTCCTCCTCGCTTCGGTTCACCTGCTTGAAGGGATGAAGCAAAAAGAAAAGAGAGGGAATGGGATTCATGACGTGACATGTCTCGTCGGCCGTGTTCGTTCGCATGCTTCTTTTCCCAACATACGGCCCACCATTAGAGATATCGCCGTATGAGTGATGTTTTTGGGTTTTGGAGCATCCTGCGTTATCACTCCAGCCTTGTTTTGTGAGCTCCAAGTTTTGGTTCAGCATCTTTTTAACAATCCTTGTGTGGCAGGGTAAAGAAGAAGAAAAAAGGTGGTCCGAGCTGGATAAAAATTTTAATTAAATTTCTGTATGGGGTTACATTACACAAGTTTGATACATAATGCAAATTGGTAAATCTTTCTCTATTTAATATTGTTTACAGATTTGCTTTATATGTAGTAAAACTAATGTATAAAGTAAAACAGGTGGGCTGAGTTAGATATTTACTTCAGGCTAGACAAGTATGAGAATGAGCAATCCTGAAACAAAAATTTAATTGAACAAAAACACAAAACGGTTAGTCATGGTTGCTCCCCGTAGTACATATCTTGCCTCTGTATAACTATAGTCAGTTACAGGTTAAGAAGGTAGCGGCAAATGCCCCTCAAAGGGAATAAGATATCCCTCCGCCTCCACATCCAATAGCGTCCCACCGTTTCCGTGACGTCGCGGCGAACGCGCGAGGAAGGGCTTGCCTTTCTGTACATATTTGCTTTATCTTTCGACTTTGACTTAGCATTGTGGAAGGCACGAGAGGGAGATTAGAGTTCTCCCCCACCGACGGAAACAAATAGACTTTCGGGGATTAGCTTCCCCCCGATGGATACAAAGGCTGCTTTCAGGGGCTCGGTTCCCTCTCTGATAAATGCAAAGGTCGCTTTCTTAAAAAGTGGGATCGGCGACAAGTTGGAATCCATTGAAGCGGAACAAGGAGTGTTTCCAGTGAACTCTTCTTTCGACTGCGGAGAGATTTGAAACAGGCGCATCACGCTTGTGGATGGAGCTTCTCCTACCTTCTTGACTTGTAACCGACTATAGGGTTCCAAGTAAATGAGCACAAAGACACTGCGCCAACTGACGGATGCTGTCTAAGATGCATCTCGGACTGGTCTGTTTAGTTCGTTTCACTTGTGGTCTCTCGATTTTTACTGGATGATGTGCTCCTGTCATGCTGTTGCGTGCCGTTATCCTGGCAGTGGAGGTGTACGTGGTAAATGGCTTGTTTTACTGCAGCCTGTTCTGCAGCCAGACAGTTAGTTCATGGGAGCTTCAGAAGTCATGAGTTGGAACGCTGCGACGACGTAAATGCTTGCATTTGCCTGTACCTTTTATTGGAACCTATTTGACCGAGGACCTGGATCGTGACATCGGACAGCATGACAGACCGGCTCGCGTGACATTATTGTTGCCTCTTCGGGACCACTTTTGATGCACGGGTTGTATAGGACACTTAACGCACCAGACAAAGATGCATTTCAGGCAGCATTTTCTAACAGCAGCAGTAGCAAAAAGAGCAGTTCTAATGCGTGACATTTGCATGCTTTTGCCGACAACAGAACCAGCAGGGACGTCCAGTCATCCAGCAGGCGATATCGTCAACCGGCACGACCCAAGCAGTCCTTTCCTCACCTGGAACCCCACTGGCGAGTTCTGCAGGACGGCGACTGCCCAGGCGAAAGAGGGCAAGCGCCGGTGTCGCTTCTGCCCCTACACCACCGACTACTCGGCGAGCATTATTGTTCACGAAAGGACGCACACGGGTGAGAAGCCATACCCCTGCCGGTTCTGCGGGAAGGCGTTTGCGCAAAGCAGCGACCTGACGGCCCACGAGAGGATTCACACGGATGAGAGGCCCTACGAGTGCGATGTCTGCGGGAAAGGGTTCCGGACCTCGACTCACCTGACGAGGCACAGGAGGACGCACCTGGGGGGCGGTCTCCCCGCCTGCCGGTAGTGCGGGAATGAGTTAGATGCGGGTCCACCTGGTTCAGCACGGTTCTCTGAAGGCACAATCACGCGCTTGTGTTCTCTTAGGGTCGAGTTCTCGTGACCCCTTACTACTAGAGAACAGACTGGCACTATCTGTGACGTGGTCCTGGAACTGCGTTTGACTAGAGCAAAGTTTGGTGACATTTGCGAGATCAAATGAGAAATGGTGACTTCTAGCATAGTCAAAAGTTTTTCAAACTAAAAGAGTAAGAAAGATGTAAAAACAAAAAGAAAATATACGGAAACTTAAATTGTTCCACTGCTAAAGAGGTTTTAAGACACGGTCATAAGCAGTTGTGTGTGAACCAGCCCTAACAGCACGCTTAGTCCTGTGGGCGTTCGCAGCCTATCATGAAGTCCCCAAATATGTGAATGTCTGTCAGACCGTCTGTGTTATGTTCCTTGTCGTTCTATGCGTGGCAGCTGGTGGGACCTAGAACCATTGCATGTGACAGCCAGTTGAGCACAAATGTTTTTAATCGTCTCCCCAAATAAAGTGATTTCCCTGCCTAATTTCTATTTTAGATTGTCTGAGGCACGCTTCAATGCAGGCCTCTGATTGGAACCTTGTAGTACCAGTACATATTTGTTACTGTTTAAAGTTTGTAGACCTCTGTATTGCCTCTTTTCGCAATCCTGATATTGACGGGGCTTCTCGGTAGTCATTCAAAGCAGATCAGTGGTCCCCAGAACCGAAAAATTTAGAACCACTTAATTACGAGATCAAGTTTCTAGCGTTGTGCTTGAGGCAAGAGAGATGAACAAGTTTAGAAAGTATAAATTTTCCAATTTTTTGACAGTTCCAGTATATTGGAACGTAAAAACGAAAAATAATATGTTGCATAAAAAGTGTATATATATGAGCACATCTATGTACCGTAGAATACCGGGGGAGCACCCACTGCAGCTTCACTGAAAACTGTGTCTATCTAGACATGAGCGCTTGTCTGGTCAAATTGGGTGCTCAACGTTTAATTTGGAGAATTCCCAACTTTGGAGCACGTTAATAATGGGCGCTTGAACGAAGTGGTTGCTTCCACAGAATTTTACGGTAAATGTGGTGAAAAGAAAGAGAGAAAAAAACAAAAAAAACAAAAACACCATAAAGGTGATCAAAACATAGGAAATTAGACTTTGAATGTTTGGATAGCGGATAGGTTGGTCTGTCTTTGAAGCATGACGACACTGGTTCGTGCTGTAGATGAGCAACTTTGTGAGCGCAGTGTGATTTCTAACCTGACGTCCTTGGCGTGCATCATATGCTGACACTGTCATTTTGTTTGTGTCTATGCACTCTACGGTAGAGCATATTTTTTACTTTGAGTACGAGCTTGCACACTACATTTTACCTAGTGCCATGCACTGCATGGTTCCAGAGAAACCTGAAAACGCGAAAGGAAAATTCAACATCTCTCGCAGTAAGCAATTGCACTTTGTCCAATGGACCATTTTTCTGGCGTGAAAATGCGTGAGCATGTGCTGAAGCGAGTGCAGGCACTCCCTCGACCAAGGAAGGTAGATTCTTCTGGCTCCGTTGAGCTCGCAGTGACCTACTAGACCTCGAGCTATCAATGACGTTTCAAGCATATATATAATAATTACGTAAAAGTAGCAACAGCCCATATCTTTTCATCCTAAAATGGAAGAACAAATATGTCTGCTTTCCAAATGCACTGCCTAATATAACAAAACCATATATGTAAAAAAATGTATTGCATATTTAAGAGCACACAGAAAGCTTTACATATAAAACATTTTAAATAGACATTGAATTTTGGACTTGTAGCTTTTCTTCTCAAGTTTACAGTGCTGTTTCTTGTATATAAACTCTACAATGAAAGCTGGTTTAGATACCAGCTTTCATTTGATGTGTTTCTTATGCTTTTAGTAATTGTACATTGAAAACTTGTTTGATGCAAACTTGGCCCATAATTGTCAAAGGTGCAAAATTCAAGCATTTTTATTTCATAAAAAAACACTTCTAGAAAATTTTAACTCTTCTAGACAAAGCTTTAAAACAATAAAAAAATTATGATTGTGAAAAAAAAAGAACAAGAATCTAAACATTGCGAGACTCAAAAATGTGTTACTCATTCAAAACTCAAGAAAAAACATTCTGTAGTTTTAATTTGCAGGTTTGTTCTAGTCAAACATTTTCCGCCAACACACATAATTTTTAAGAATTTTCTGAGGACCCATCGTCTTTTCTTGCACGATTTGAGTTGAAATCGTTCTTAATAAGGCCGTACAAGAGAAAAACGAAGTGCTCTTCTGGTAAAATCTGAAATTTGAGCTTGGTATTGCAATCAAGTCAGAACTAGGAAATAATGAAAATGTTTTAAACTAACTCAACAATTTAAGCTGTTTTTGTTCTAGTATGACGGCGGTTACAGCAATAGAAATTTCGTAATTAAACTGTACGTTTAATTACCAACTGGGCGCTACGGGGCGAGATGGGCAAAGAGCACCCATGACGTTGATCTTTGTCAAGCTAGAAGTCCGAAATCCACCCTTCTCCGGATTCCCAATATGAGGGGTTTTCGGTAGGAAGCCGCGTGGGCGTTGCACGAGTGAGTGCGAACATTTCTAGGTTAAAAAGTGAAAGAGGTGGGAGCTGCTTGGATGGATATAGGTTGATAAATGCAGAGCCGTGTATACAGCTCTGGATAAATGTTAATAACTATCCGATTTGTAACGGGCGGTAGCTTGCGCCACCTAGCCTACCGTAAAATCCCGTAAGGGCGCCCTCCCCCGAGAGATCGCCCATCCCGTTTTTCTGGCTAAATATCTGTAACATAAAAATTCTGAAACATCGCCCACCCCCCATTTCCGTTGGACGTCAAGCCATGTCCGACGGGAATCGCGCATCAACGGCGCGATCTGCGGTACCGGTGCATCCGAGAAGCGAGTTCATAGCGGGTTCCCGCGTTTTCGTCTGCGATCAGCGCGCATGACATCGGCACCCGTAACACGTGAGTTGTTCCCGCGTGTACAGGGTGTTAAAAAAAAAAAGAAAAACAGTTTTTTTACCGCAGAAATAAACTAGGTATCGCTGAACGCTCATTCCCCGCCCAAAGGTAGCACTAGAGGTCACAACCAGATGCCAAAGTTTCAGCCCGATCCGATAACTTGATAAAAAAGTTATGTGATTTTCTGAAAAGTTCAGTGGAAAAAAATACACAAACTCGACTCTGTTACCTCACGGCTTGGTGGTGGCGCGTCGAGCGCACTTCCGGTCTGCGGCTGTGGGCCGCAGACGTGAACGTGTATTCCTGCCTTGTTTTGAAAGGAACCTCACAAAAACCTGCCTTGTCGTCAAAACGCCGCGACTGGGGCAGTACCAAAAGAGTCGAGAAAGGTTTCAAGGTCAGTTTTTATGTGTTCGGCTCGTCCGAGCACGCGTATATGTTCCGTGAAAAGGGGAAAACCAGACGCCGCTGCACCACGATTACTTGGGCGGGAAGCATTTTGGGTTGAATTCACAGATACTTGTGGTCATTAGATTTGTTTTGTTCCAGCATAAACGCCGGAAAACCGTCTAGTTGTGCGGACCACCTACGGACTACGTCCAGTGCGTCTTCAAGTTCGAACGGCCGCCTGATAGTTCGAACTGTCGTCTGCTCTTTTGAACATTTCTGCTTGTCGTCTGCTCTTTTAGACGACACCGGCCTGTAGACCAAATATTGGCCCGGTACTTGCGATAAGAAGTGCACGCCTCAAAAGACTTTAAGTTTGAAGGTTGGTAAGCAGGCTCGATGTAAACAGTTATACAAGGAGGTGTTGGTCACTGTTACCAGTGGCCATCGCCGACTTGTTATGCCCAATTCACTTGGTCCGATTCTGCTTGCGATTTTCAGTATCGACGTCGACCATCACAGCTACGGTTCACGCTTTTGCAACCCGAGTAACGTTGCGGCTGAAAATTGCGAGTGAAATATCATCATGCGAATCAGGCTTTAGCGCACATTCTGCGGCGACCTCGCGGAATGAATCGCCGCATGTCCCAATGACTCGAAGTGTTGCGGTGTAACGAGCCTCAGTAATTTCGCTGAGGCCGCTCAAGTAGTCAGACATTGTTCAGCAAGACGTAAACTCAACAATTCGAACGCGAAAAAGGGCAAGGGGACTCACACCGACGCCGACAACATCGCATTTCAATGGTTTGCTTATGGGCGACGGCGAGATTCTTGCCCACACTCCATCGCGCATACGACGCATACGCGGCGCCGGGGGCGTCCGCTAGGGGCGCACCAGAGACCGAAAACGGCCAAAAATTGGCTCCATTTTCCCATTGAAATTTTCAGAAAATCACTTTTGAACTTTTGAGTAAGGTATTAGATCGGGCTGAAACTTTGGCATCTGGTAGGGAGGCTCAAGTGATTGTGGGTGCAACTCAACGTTGGTGCAACTGCTAGATCGGGGATCATGAAACATGGACGCCATTTAATTGCTAAATTTTGCTGGGAGTCTTTGGGGCAAAGGGTCGTTTTATTTCCTAACTCAGGTCATAAGAGCCCATTAAGGTGCTTGAATAATTTACACAAGGTATAAACGATTACTTTTCCAAAGCCACCAGTTGTGCTGCGATAGGTTAAGTATTTTTTAACGCGAGAAATGGTAAATTCCGCCATCTTGGACGTTGCTGCTTGTCTGCCAACCCTGCTTAGAGAGGGAAGCGAAAGAGGCTGCGTCGAGGTGTTCGTTGCTTGCAATGGGAGGCGAGAGGAGGGAAGGCGCATGGAGCAACAGAGTTGGAACAGAGCGGGCGTCTGCTCTCGTGCAAGCAACATTGGCGCATATCCTTTCCGGAATCCTCTCCCTCAGGCGCCGCCATTAAATTGCAAACGCTCTCCACGTTTTGAGTTGCGCCCACTCCTAGCATCTGGCTGTGACCTCTATAGCGCTACCTTTGGGCGGAGAGTGAGCGTTCAGCGATGCCTAGTTTATTTTTGCGGGAAAAAGAGCCCTGTAAAAGATATTTTTGTTTTGTGACACCCTGTATATTGTCACGGGTGGTGACCAAACAAAAACAGGAAATAAACAGAAAGAAATAAACGTTTAATGTGGCGAACTTGTGCCAAAAAAATAAACGAGTACAAAAGATAATAACAGAGCGTCGCGGGCGTCGAAGTCGGCGTAGCAACAGAGTCGAACGCTGGTGCGAAAACTGACTGCGGCTCGCCACGCGGAGCCCCTTATGTACATGCGTGATCTTCGGGAATAATCGGCGTAGAAACTTCGACGCGTAGAACATTCGGGCCTGGAACGAGCAACATGATTCTCGAATTCTCCAGAACACGAAGTT